GATGTGCCCTCCAGTATCTGCACCACGAGCCGCGCACGGCCTCTACATTATTATGTGGGTGGCTTTTTTTTAATTAAAACGTGACGCTTCCCCTGGGACACGCGCTGTCTATTCCTTCCTGGCTGCTAACCTGGTGGGGAGGTTAACAACATGATCATCGGATGATCACTCAAAAAACGCATAAGGAATGCGAGGGAGAAGCTGGAAGCCTCTTTAAAAATCACACGTTCTGTCAAATCAGCAGCGCCCTCTGGGATGGACTTCTCAATGGCCATGCCACCTTCTATACAGATACCAGATAGGTCTTTCCATCAGTGTTTTTAATGTATCGTATATACGCACAGCTCCAGAGAGCAGAGCGGCAAACTTCATAAGGGCCCAGAACGTACTGAGCATTAAAAAACCTCATTTCCTAAGTACGATATCGGAGTGCAAGATAACACAATGCTATGCAATACAATTGGAATTGAAGCTAGTACATCCCATGAGGCGAGAGAGGGAGCGTCCAGAACCGAAGAAGGCCTTACTCTATCGCTGAAGGCGACACCGCTAGGGAGCACACACACACCGCAGAGATGAGCTGCAAAAGAAAAGGGGCTGTCTCTTCCTTTCCGTCTGAGCGGAAAACAGAAAGGAAACAGTGAAGGTCTTCTGGGAGACGCAGTTCTTCTTCTCTCCTGAGAACCACGGACCCACAAATAGCAACAATCCATGGAACTGCACCACCAGCTCTCTACCTCCCAGTGCACTCTTCCCCCACCACGTAAATGAAAAGTTTGGATGCTTTGTGCAAACACCTGGAATCTGTTACTAAAACACAAAGCTGCATCAAGACAAGTATGGGCTGAGCTTTCAGAGTTACACCCCTAATCATTCATGTAAGTAGGAGCTACAAAGTGCACGTAACAACCCACGAATGGCTTCTTGGGAAGTCTTTCATCTGTGCTACTCTTGAGACTTACCGCAAGGCTTAATGCCGATTTGTGAGTAGAATGGGAACCCGCACTGCCTTGAAAAGAGAGTCTTTCTAACACAGACCTGTGGGTTACATCTTTTTCAGATAGTACGTATAAAGTGAAGATAGTACGTATTAAGTGAAGTTTCTTCAGCAAAACTGCCAGAAGTTTTTTCCATCCCTGAAGCTATAGTTCCAAACAGGAAGTCTTATTCTCAATACAGACTGAGAGCTACCTTCCAACTGAAGAGTTGCCTTTGACTGGATTCTGAGTTATGTTTGTAGCCTATGTAATTTCATGAGCTACCAACACTTCTGCTCTGCTTTTCTGCAGTAATAGCTTGCACATCAGATAGCTGCCTTTAATTGTGAAGTTGGAAAAAAATAAAAAAAAACACCACCTGTTAGGCTTGTATGATTCAGTTTGTTCTCTCTCATAGCTACAGAACAGTTCCTTCATCAGAGAATAAATGAAACAAGCTATTATCCTGAACAGAAGCATTTTGGTCCAACTTTTCATCTCCATCCTATAAAGAGAATCTACTTTAAATGCCATTAAAGCAATTTGAAGTGATTACTGAAAACTTTTTAAGAGTGAGGAACAGCGGAGAATTCCACCTACCTTGAAAACTTTTTTTACTTAGCATAACTGATTGCTCTATTTTCATATCATCTCTAGGAATATGAAGGCCACAATCAAAACTGGTATTTCTAAAACCCTTCCTATTCCACTGCAATCCATTTGACATTTCACTCTGCCTAGGACATACAGTAGAGTTAAGTACACGCCTTGGTTTTCAGAGTAGATAGCAAAAGAAAAATCTGCTAGAGACTGCTGTCAACATCTTCCAGAATGGATACATTATTTTAAGGATACCATGGCTAGAAAGATTACAAATTAAGCAATTACTTATCAAAATTATGTTAAATTCAGAAGAATTTCTTCAGAGCTGGAGTTTACAGACAAATTATCAGACACAACATGAGAGCTCCCTGTCTGGGTCTGTTCTGTTTCATACATGGAACTTAATAATAAACCAGGCTCAGAAACAAAATGGCAGGGGGAGAGTGGGAAGCTTTGGACTGCTTCTAGTAGAAGCTTTAGGAATTAACAATCACTCTCCATTCTTCATTCTTTGTTGAACCAATAAAGGAGGCATAAAGAATGGTCAAGAAATCATTTAACTACAATGCATGCAATACCCTTCTGAGCTTTGAATGCTGTGATTCAGCAGCATGCCTACATACATTGAGACTTGTTGTATCCTAAGAGCTAATTTTTAAAATACCCTCAGGTTTGCTGAAATCCGTATCATGCTAAATGTAATTACTCTCAAAGGAAAGACAACTAGAAGATATGTCAAAACTGCCAAGAGGATGGTAGGCAAACGCACGATTCCAACAGTACAATATGCAGCTAATTCGAATGGAAGTCACTTATCTTCTTGAAATCAAAAAGCTCATTGATTATAAAAATACTAAAAAGTGCAAAAAAATAGTCAATAATGTAAGAAGAGAAATCTTAAAACAAATATCTTCTCAGTAAAACTAGTATAAAACCACTAAAAAAAATCCCCATGTGCTGTAAGATCTGTTATCTTACATTGGTATAGGAAATACGTTTCATTGGTATAGTATAATTACATTGATAGGAAAAAGGATGCTTGGCACAACAGAGACGCATGGAAAGACACGTTTTTCAAACTTTTTGGAACTTCTTGCACAAATGTTTTTTCACAATTTTTTTTACAACCCTCAGATTGGAGAAAATAAAAAAGTATTTCCACAGCAACTATAACATCCCAAGAAGTTCTTATTTTCCTTGTAACATCCTAACTGGAAAACTGATCAGATAAGTGGACAGAGAGGTGGACTGAAAACTGGCCCAGCTGCTCAACACGCAGGGTTCTGAGCAGCAGCACAAACTCCACCTGGAGGCCACTCACTAGCATCCAAGCACAGGGCTTCACACAACACTGGGGCCATCTTCCTTAAAGAAGCATGGCAGAGACAACATCCTCACCAAGTCTACATGCAGTGCCATTCAAAGGGACCGGAGCAGGCCAGTAAAATGGGCTGACAACAAACTCAGGAAGTTCAACAGCAGGAAATGCAAAATCCTGCATGTGGGGAAGAATCAACTCATGTGCCAGGATGGGCTGGGGGATGAGCACTGGGAAAGCAGCTTGGTAAGAAGGACATAAGTTGTCCTGATGGACACAATCTTGTCTATTAGCCAGCCATTTACCATTGGGTCACAGACAACCAATAGCACCTGGGACTGCAGTGGGGAGAGCACTGCTAGCTGTCTCAAATTGACATTCCATTCCCTCTCTTTAGCAATAGTGAGATCACACTCATGGTCCTGGCTTCAGTTCTAGGCTCCCCAGTAAAAGTCTGAATATGTCCCTGAGTAACCTGAACTTGACCCACTTGTTGATTGGTGGACGTTGGACTGAAAAATCTCCAGAAGTGCTCCTCAGCCTCAACTACTTCCTGATTCGATGGTTCTGTGAAATTCTCAGCCAACTCCAATAATTCATCATCACTGAAAACAGAATCATAGAAGCGCCTGGGTTGGAAGGACCTTTAAGATCATCTAGTTCCAACCTCCCTGCTGCAGACAAGGATATCTCCCACGAGAGCAGGTTGCTCAAAGCCCCCCCCAGTCTGGCCTTGCATACTTTCAGGGAGGGGGCATCCACAACCTCACTGTGCAACTTGTTCTAGTGTCTCACCACCTTCACAGCAAAGAATTTCTTCCTAATATCTAGTCTAAACTACCCTCTTCCAGTTTAAAGCCATTTCCTCTCATCCTGTTGCTATCTGCCCTTATGATAAGTTCTTCCCCAACTTTACTGTAGGCTCCTTCAGGTACTGGAAAATAGATGCTTTACAACAACATTAAAATTTTTCTTTGTTAATCTCTTTTCCATAATTAGGACTTTCTTGTCAGGCTACCCACCATTTCTGACAGGTGGTTTTGTTAAGTACCTCAGTATGCAGAGGACTCTTTCCAGTCCCTCTCAGAAGGCAATCACTGGAGTTGGCTCTGAATTGTAATGCTCTATACATGCAAAAGACATTCAATCAAAAAACATTACCTCCTCGGAGCAGGAGGTAGAAGCAAAACTGGTTAGGAAGGGATGAAACACGATGGTGGTATGCCCACCAATGATCCTCTGTGCTGACGTGCTCTCTCAGATGAAAGTTAAGCCAATACTCAAATTGCACTAAAAGAATTAGAAAGTATCACAGGTACACTAAGCTTGACTACAATTTAACATTCTTAGCCATGCCTGGAAGTTATATCGACCACACTCCTTACCTTGAAGTTTGCAGCAATTCAGAAAGCCTCTCTTCCTAAACCAGAATATAACAACATGATTTCCAGCTTAACTAATGTTCTCTTAGCACACTGTTACATCAAGTTCCTAGCACTAGCAGAAGAGCAAAGAGCCTCTCTTACTTTGATGCTAAAAAAAAAAGTTTTTGTGTAATTGCAACAATGGGGACAACAACGTTGCTGAAATCATTAGATCCTCCAGGAAATATGATTCATTGTAATAAGAACAGCAGTTAGTTTTGACCCTCCTAAGATGCCTTACATTGACAAAGAGATTCCCTTCAATTGTGAACTTCATATGAATATACTGTGATGCTACCAAAGGTTTTGGAAGTCTAAAGATCCAGGTACAAGAAAAAGCATCTTTCTGTTACTGTTATTAATCAACTCAGCTTATATATTTCAGTTTACAATCACCACAGTAGTAGCTACAAACAGACGAAAGCCCCACATTATACATAGCTGATATTTCTGACAATTGTGCAGCTCTGCGCTGAGGGTATCATGTTATCAAGCACATACTGTTCCCTGATTCTGAGACAGAAACGTTAATCAGAAACATTGTTAGAAACATAATAATTCTGAGAACTCAGTGAACTCTCCCACTCCATGACTTAGTTGCCACTTCACATTCCATAAACATTTCTTTTGAAAAATATTCCCCTCCCCGCCCCACAGCAGGGAGAACATTCAGCTTACCTGAAAATAGAAGAAAGCCTGGCCAAACCAGTAATGCATTATGGTGATCTGTGCTGCATCAAATTTCAACGGTCTCCAGATGTATTTTGTCATCATTGTCTGTATCAACAGACAAAATACCAAGACTGGTAAATTGTGTGGTCTAAATAGAAGGGCTGACAGTAGAACTAATCCACTATACACTTCCCATAGTCCTGTACTCTTCATATGGGAGTCTGCAGAAATAACCTGTGACTTCAGCAAATCTTTAGTGCCAGTGAAGACTATTCCAAGAACAAAGACATAAACAAAACGAGCTTCAGTAATCCCCCTAAAAAGAAAAGAAAATAATATATGTATCTGAAAAAGCAAACTAGAAGCATAAGTTACTCACTAGTATCAATTTCATAGGTCAAAAAAAGTCTTTTTCAAGAGAGATGCACAAAGTCTGTTTAGTTCCGCCAAACAGACCAAGTCCTCATGCCAGTAATAGTATGGGCCCTTTTGTTTTTGTTTGATTAGTTGGCTTTGTCAAATATGCAGAATTCTAAAACACGTTCCCATTTAAATGACAACAACTTCCAATGAAAGTCAAGCTTCTGGAGAACAGGTACCTCATTCAAAAAAAATCTGCCAAAGGTAAGGGCCAGTAGGTTTAAAAACTGGAATAAAATACTATGATTTTTTTTTTTAATTTTAGAAAAAATAATACATATTATGTACACATCCAAAATTTAGAATTCGTTATTCCCAGGAATTATTAAGATCTTTGTATATGAGTGGTGAATGAACACAGTCTTCTACAAAGGTAATACAGTTCACTCAGAAGTGAGAATTCTTGAGTCACCTGAACTTAAAAATACATTATCTTGTAAAGCATAAAGAATGGAACAGAATAGTAAAGTTCACAGAGTTCTTGTGTTTCTGGCTCACGCAGAAATTAATTGCCCTATTTCAGTATTTCCGTTAATTCTGATGTAATCATTACCAAAAAGTGTTCAAATGCTTTCATGCAGCTTTATGGACTGACCTTTATCAGAGGGTGTAGAGACAGGACAAGATGTAAGGGCTTTAAACTAAAAGAGGGTAGGTTTAGATCAGACATTAGAATAAATTATTTACAGTAACAGTGGTGAGGCAGTTGCATAGGCCGCCCAGGGAAGCTGTGGTGCCCCATCCCTGGAGGTGCTCAAGGCCAGGTTGCATGAGGCCCTGGGCAGCTGAGCTGGTGGGAGGCAGTGCTGCTCATGGCAGGGGATTGGAACTTGGTGGGCTTTATGGTCCTCTCCAACCCAAACTACTCCATGATTCTATAAACTCAGAAGCAAAATTTTAGGTAATTTTTGAATACTAGTCAACATTGAAAGGAGTTAAGTGAAAAAATGAGATTAACTGGTTCACGGAATTAAAACTAAAAAAGTTTTTTAGCAAGAGCACTACCCTCCACATCAATATGGCATATACACATCTTTTTTTATTGTACAAATCATCATTATAAAAAAACTCCAAAAAATTGAAGGCCACATTATTTCCTTACATTTTTTAATTTAGAGGTTATCTAAGCTCAGGCCACAGAAGAAGGAATATTCAATTGTCTAATCCATCTTCCAGCAAGTGTCACAGCAAGAGAAAACTCTTGTTTCAGGTAAAAGGGAAACAGATGGGACATCAGAACACTGATTCTGTCTTAAGTAAACATGAATTAAAGATGCAGTAGCTACATACAGATGAAAAAGCATCTTACACAAAGCTATCCTTCTATCTGGATCTGTCTCCACTTTATGTCACACGCATGATAAAGATACCTCCAGACAAATTTGAAGGACATTCCTGGTCATTTATCATATCAGCCATCTAATCAAGGTGAGTTTAAATTGCTATGCTAACATATCAGCTAACATTTGAAATGTGCTAACATGTCTGCTATCTTAATTGGCATGCTGTTCAGGAAGTTTTGCAAGAACTACTGTGTTTAAAGAGTCAGTGATGCTGGACAAACAATGCTTCCTCTGTTAGGCCCTGTATTGCAGGCTTAAGAAGCCCATATCCTAGCATAACTAGCTCACAGATAAAAAGTTCTGCTTCCTTCAGTAGGAATGGTTTGGGGAACATTTCATAATTGCAATGACCATTCTAATCAGAGATACTACTATTTCATTAAATGTACATGGTAAAAGAATATGTAAGGACCATCAAGCCCCACCCTGAAAGCATCTTGTCTAAATAAGAATCATAGAAAATACAGACTACAGCGTACACCTGTCCCAAGATGTATAAAATGAGTGTCTGGAGTCTTGTAGGGTATTTGCACTCAGAAAGCACAAAGATATTTCAGTTAAGATAATAATAAAAAAAACCTCTTGTTATTTGCTCCCAGATAAACTGTCACTTCATTTCAAGCTGTGCTTTAAGTACAATACCACTATACCTGCCAATAAAGCTTTATTTTCTAAAGCTTTGTTTCATTAATCTTGAGAGCATCTTTTAAACCACTATATAATTGGAGATATATAAACATTTGACATGATTTAAGCACATTATCATATTCACTATTTAAGGTGAAACAATATAAAAGCCCTTTATCTTTCTTCTTGTAATTAAAATCACTACAGTGAGTACAGAATGAGAAAATTCTCAGAAAAGGCTTTTGTCTTAAGTACTCCACTTATTTCTCTAATTGCATTCCATTTGTAGCTCAACTGCTGTATTTAATGTTCTGTCCCATATTGCAGTTTTTTTTCACTGCAACTCCAAGAACCTTACTCAAGCACACAAATGAGGTTAAACCCAGAAATCACACATGCTTTCAAAAATACTTTCAATCACAGAGCAAAATTCTGCAGAATACAGTTTACCATCGCACCCATGAGTGCTGAAGGACCCAGCAGAACTGATTACCGAACTACTCTTCATCAAGCTTCCAGAGAATGGGAGAGGTGTCTGTAGACTGGAGGAAAGCCAGCATCACCCCAGTTTTCAAAAAGGGCAAGGAGGACTCAGGAAACTACAGTCCAGTCAACCTCACCTCTGCTTCTGGGAAGGAGATGTAATAACTTATGTCATCTCTGAGCCAGTGGAGAAGGTTGTCAGCAGTAGTCAACAAGGGGAAATCATGTTTGATCAACCCTGTAGACTTCTATGACAAAGTAAGTAAGCGAGGGGGGAATGTCATATACCTTGACTTCAACAAGGCTTTTGACACTGTCTCCATAACATCCTCGTAAGTAAGGTCAGGAAGTGTGGTCAAGAGAACTGACTGGTAGAGCTCAGAGGGGTTGTGACCAGTGGTGCAGAGTCTAGCTGGAAGCCTGTAAACAGCAGTGTTCTCCTCTAGCTACCGATCACAGAGCACTGGAACAAAATGCACAGAGAGACTATGCAGTTTCCTTTTCTTCAGATGACCAAAACCTACCTGGACACCTTCTTGTGTAACCCACTGTAGGGAACCCGTTTTAGCAGGAGGTTTTATGCTAGATGATACTCAGAGATCTCTTGCAACCACTACAGTTCTGTGATTCTGCCATTACTTTCACACTTAGCAGAAATAACATACAATGTCAACACTGGTACAGAATTCATAGAATCCTAGAATAATTCAGTTGGAAAAGACCTTAAGAATTATCGAGTCCAACCACAACCTAACCATACAACCCAATTAACAACCCTCTGCTAAATCACGTCCCTGTGCACCACATCCAAACAGTTTTTAAACACATCCAGGGATGGTGACTCAATCACTTCCCTGGGGAGCCTATTCCAGTGCTCAACAATCTCTTCTATAAAGAAGTGTTTCCTGTTATCCAACTCAAACTTATCCTGGCACAACTTGAGGCCATTTCCCCTCATCTTGTCATCTGTCACCAGTAAGAAGGGATCAACCCTGCACTCGCTGTAAGCACCTTTCAGATATTTGAAGAGATCAATAATGTCTCCTCTCAGCCTCTCTTCCCCAGACTAAACATTCCCAGTTCCTTCAGTCTCTCCTTATAGGCCATATTCTCCAAGCCCTTCACAAGCCTTGTTGCCTTTTTTCGGACCTGCTCCAGCACCTCAATGTCCTTTCTGTACTGAGGTGCCCAAAACTCAGAGTACTCAAGATGGGACTTCACCAATGCCGAGTACAGGGGCAGGGTTACTTCCATAGTCCCGCTCATCACACCACTCCTGATACAAGCCAGGATGCCATTGGCCTTCTTGGCCACCTGGGCACAGTGCTGGCTCATATTCAGCCGAGTGTCCATCATTACACCAAGGTCTCCTTCTGTCAGACAGATTTCCAGTCACTTTTCCCCAAGCCAGTAGGGTTGCCTGGGGTTGTTGTGACCGAAATGCAAGACCCAACATTTGGCCCTATTGAAACTCATACCTTGGCCTGTTGATCCAGTTTATCCAGACCCCTCTGTAGAGCCTTCCTCCCCTCAGGCAGATCAACACTCCCTCCCAACTTGGTGTCATCTGCAAACTTACTGAGGGTGCACTCAATCCCCTCATCAAGATCATTAATAAAAATGTTAAATAGAAGTGGTCCCAGTACCAAGGTCTGGAGGACACCGCTCATGACTGGCTGCCAACGGAATTTAACTCCATTGATACAACTCTTTGGGTCCGGCCATCCAGCCAGTGTTTAACCCAGCAGAATGTACATCCATCCAAACCTGGGCAGCTAGCTTCTCCATGAGGATCTGTGGGGGACAGTGTCAAAGGTTTTGTCCAGGTAGACCACATCGACAGCTTTACCTTCATCCACTAAGCAGGTAACCTTGTCACAGAATGAAATCAGGTTTGTCAATCAAGATCTAACATTAGAACTATCTTCAATATTTGGAAAGATGAAGTGTATGTAAATGCATCTGTGTATATATATATAAATGTGTATGTGTATATATATAGACACAAATTCAGTTTATAAAGATGCCTTATTAGCAAATCTGATGTATGTGTCCTAAAATCTTTTCCTGCATATTTTTCCCATCTGCATATCTTGTGAATTTCTGTCCTCTAATTAAAAAGCCCCAAAAGAAACCACTTATATAAAATTAAAAATGAGTGTGAAAGTTTACTGCATTTATAAGACAGTAGTTATACTTGTCTTCCACGATCCTCTCCTCCTCTTTTAATGCTCTTACTAACTCCGCAAGTTTTCCACAGCTCTGATATTTACAAGCCAGGTACAATCCAATGATAAAAAGCTCCACGAGAAAACTGAAGTCACTTAGCTACATTCTGTAAGTAATCACTGGTAAAAACACCAATAAATTCCTTACAATTGCAGTGACTAGTTCTTTAAGAAATTTACATCCACATAAAAGTCCTCAGTCCGCACTGTGCAGAACAATTTTGTTACAGTCATACATTACAAAAATATTCAACTGAGAAAGAAATATATAGAAAAGCAACACTCTCAATTATTGCATAATCATTCTTCAAAACTAACAAACAGCTAAACGAACTTGACATGTTCTCTGCTAAATATGGCAAATCTATCTAAAACAAGAGGAGATGGTGTATTCGGAGCTTCTTTCTAGCAAAAATACAGGGAATGACTACTGGATTTTCCTCTGATTAGTTGCAGGACACTTCACAAGGCTTGAAATTACACATCACAAGAACTGTGTGTCAGCCACATACAAAATGCAGTTCTATTTGTAAGAATTTGATTACAGTCTAAACATAACATCCATCTCCACCTCATCCCGATACCAAAAGTGTTAATACCTTTCTAGAAATAGATTTACATATCTGTTGATTAACTTACTTTGAAATATCTTTGCTGTCATGTTGCCATGGAAATACGACATTTCCAATGGCTGCCCGGTAACTGTAGACTCCCAGGAGCCCAAGTGCCATAGCAATTTTTGAAACCAGTGAGCATCTTCTTTGAACCAGAACAAAGATCATAAGTAGGGAAACTGCAGCCAAGACGGAGAGTTCAGACTTATGCTCAGAACTGCAGAAAAAGAAACATACAAACATACAAACAAAAAACCTTCAAACTACTGTAATTACTGTGAAGCACATTTGACAGAGCCTTAGCTACAGTAGTCTATTGCCAAATTAATTATTGCACTGAGATATGTTATAAATTTTCCAAAAGGTATTGTAAAATATGTTAGTAGTTTCAAAAAACTGATTTTACTAATGAGGCTTCCTATTCAAGAATGCATGCTTCAGGAGGGATTGTGTTCCACCATATGCTAGCGATTCCCTTAATTATATAAAGACTAAGCTGCTTAATAGAGTAGAAGCTTTTAAACTTGAATTTTCTTATTTATGCGTTTTGAAACAGTACATTTTGATTACACTACAGCATTTCGTTTCTTGAGATAAGGCATAAAAAATTCTTACATTATGAAATTAGTATTACTTTCCATTTCTAAATAACTGCACATGCATTTGTTTTGTTTAATTTTAGTCATATGAAGTACTACCTAACTGTAATGACCAGAAACATACCTACTTACTTTTAAAAATATATACAAACAACACAATATGACTCTCTTACACAACTACACCCCCTTGTAGTGGATCAATACATACAAAGAATACAGACAGAACTTGCATCACTCCTGCCAAGAGTACAGATACAGTCCCCTTCATCCTAAGTATCTACCAGTCTTTACAGACCTAAAAGCATTTCATTCAGCATGCTGCTAAAAGCTGTATGTTTAAATCTACAGTGATATTACTTGGTACTGCAAAATCTAAGGGGGTAAGATAAAGATCTGCTCTTCATGCCTCATACAGCTAGATACAAAATTTTAGGAAAGCCTTTATAAACCAGTAGTTGCTAAAATTTGCCCACTGCAAGTATTCTCAACATCTCAAACAACTCAGAAACATTAATCTTATTAATTTATCTTTTTTTAAGAACATTATTCAGAGCATGATAACCATGTGTTCCATCTCTGCCTTCCACACTTCAAAATGTCACAATAAGAAATCATCAACTTCAGTAAAATGACACTAAGCCAGGGCTGCATTAACTCTGAGCACACTTATAAAACACCAGTTTTACCTTTGATATAATTGGAATTACAGTACTTCCAATAGGTCTACCCTCCTATTTGATGGTACATGCTTTATCAGGATTTTAACCAATAATTGTGACAGCTATTGTGCTTCGAAATGTCACAGATGAAAGGAAACAGGGCACAAAAATTGCCCTGTTAGCCTGCCCTGCTGGACCCAGTTCACAGAAGCGCTTCGTGGACGACTCCCAGGAGCTGCACTGCTCTCTGCAGAACAGTAGAGGGAAGTGACATGAACCAGAGCATTACAGGATATATTATGTGCCCTTGGTGTTTCTCCTCAATAGTATTTTTCTCCTACAGGAAGCAACTGAATAAGGAGTGAATGGATTCTTGCAGCATCCTGTGAAGATAGCGTATGCATAATTTCTTATCCTCAGTACATAAAGAACTAATTCAGTAACCAGTACACCTTTTAAAATTTACCACAAACATTCATTTAAAAGAAAACCTTCAGGACATATCCTCCTTATTTACTGCATGACAGTGAGATAAATCAAATCAGGCAAATTATTAAGAATATTCCTACCTGAAAGATGTAATAAGCATGCTATATCCAGCAAGACTTTCAATAACATCTGCCATTCCCTACACTGAACACTGCAAATCATAGTCTACCGGGGAAATTAAAAAAAAGAAAAAAGGGAAAAATAAAATAAAATAAAATCCTTAGGAAAGGCCCAGTGAAAAGGAAAGGTATTTTTAAATACATGAGCACATCAGTCACTAATGGCACATTCCTTACTGCTAGCACAGGGGTTTATATCCAGCCTGTGTCTAAATGTTTCATAGAGTCTGCTGAAGAAACAAATAAAACAGGATTTATAACAAGCAATGTTGAGTCACTATAGACCACCTACTGTTTCCACATTTACCAATCAAGGTTCTTCTAATTAGGCTGCTAAGCACACACTAAATTAGCATGTATTCTGAAAGAGAACTGCAGTTGCTCAACACAGAATTCAGCCATTTAGCAAACTTCTCAATATCAGTCCAAGAAACCCATGCAGAAACATGCTGCTCTAGCTCAGCTGAAATTTAGTGGTGCTTGCCTAAGCCACACACTGGAAATCAAAGTACCAAGAGTTTCAAAATAGAGAGCCCAAATTAAAAAAGCAGCTTTGTTCATATGCTCTTACTATCACAGCCGGTGGTCTACACTTTCATACTTCTGGTGTCAGAGACATTTTCTTTGACTTGCTTCAATCTCACTTAATTCCTGCAAACTAATGGAGTGAAGGGAGTTGTAAATACTCAGATGAATCTCATTTGAAACCCTTTTTAACTGTTCACTTCCATACTGCTAGCATAGAACAAAATACAAACACGTTTCATTGCATGCTAATGTTCTGGAGGAGAGCACTTAGGGAATTAAGTACGTTATTTGAAGGAATTATCATCATCTTTACATGCTGCTGCTTCTCGTCAGTTCTCCACAAGCTGATGCTGCCACTGACTACTTCACCCCCTCCATAGTGAGCCCTGTAGCAGCTCTGACACTTTTTGAGTATGAGGTCGGACCAGGATTAAACATATGACCAAAGTTATCTGAATGCTACCTAATTGAAAAGAAAACCTTTTTACTATCAAATTCAAAATCTGCATGTTCTCTTTACTTCACCTACGGTCTATTTTTCTGATGCACTTATTCTCATTAAAGTGCATTTCTTCTTTCCAGCAGGCTTGCAGAATCTCTCCGCAAATATCAAAAAATACTTCCCTAACTCCTGCATTATTCAACGTGTGCTGAACAGCTAAATTCAACATGTTACTGGTAAACTGATTTTTCTGTTTTGCTTCTGATATATGTCCATGCACAAATCTGTACAATAATCTTTTTTGCCTTAAATGAATGGTCAGCCCATTATGCATTGTCCAGATAAGCAAAATATTAGTTTGAGCATGACAACAGATAACCACAGGGTCAATACAGGAGGAAAAGAAGAAAAAAAAAAAAAAAGAGAAAAGACTGAAAAGACTGTTCATCAATTTATCTGAAAAACAAGAAGTCTGAGCAGCTGTAACTCAAACTAGCAAGATACAAATGATCTGAGAAAGGTTCTGATATTACTAGGAAATATGCTATTAAGACACAATGATGCAAATTAAACACATACTAAGAATAGATCAACAATCAATCTTACAGGATCACAGTGCATTTCGGGAAGAGGAATGAGTGGTTTATGCAACTCAGCCTATCACTATCTTTTAATTGAGGCCATAAAGAAAATCCATCATCTAAATCCTGATCAAAATACTAGGGAAACAGACACCTCTACCACACTGTTCTCTTGTGAAAGAGAAGTAACAAAGACATTGAAATCTCTAACCAAAGAAAATTCAAGCATGTTCACTTAATAGGAGTTAGGATCCTCACGAACCAGACAATGTGCAGAGATTTAGTTGACTCATTCACTAATCATTTGGAAACTCATTCCGTGAGGCCTTTCAGGCCCAAGACAGGACTTATCCCACCTGCATTTATCACTTATGTCAAAAACTGTGCACTTTAAATGCTGCTATTAGGGTTAACTTTTAACCATATAAAGCAACATAAGAATATGTCAGAATGATGACACATATTATATCCTCTTGTTAGGCTAAAACTGCTCCTGTGATTCGTGTCAGGATATGCCAGCAGCCTGTGTAAAGCTGTAAAGCTGTTACAGTAGTGAAAGGAAGAAGGCAGAAAGGTGGCAGCCCCAATTACACATTGTCTTCATCCCCATGGTACTGCACTCTGGACTTAGGTTTTTGTTTGTCTTTTTTTTTTTTTTTTAAGGCTGAAAAAGAAGCTTGAGAATCATTAATTCTTTTTCATTTGACAGGCAAGTAGGGTTTTATAAACAATGCTTGACAATAACAGAAAGAAAAAAAAGTTTATATATGCTGCATTTCAGAAGACGCAGACACTGTTGCTTTTTTTGGTTTTATTTTGTTTTGTTTTTTCAAATGAATTTGGACAGCCACAGTACTGGCTTGCAAATTCATTCTTTCCTTTACTAATCCAGTCCATATATTGCGGCAGAACATTTGCCAGTTAAGCTGCATGGTAAACCAGAAGGGGACATGATCCATCTCATCTAAAAGATTAGTTTTCTGCACCACAATGGGATATTTTACTAGCCATACCAGTTCAGTTATTTCACCATACAGACAAAGCAACAGCTTTGATGGTAAAACACAGGGCTTGTGATAGGAAACACATGACAACAGGTACATTGCCAGGTCAGGTAATATATATATATATACATATATATATACTTGCTACAGGATCAAAGCAAATACACCCAAATATGATGCTATAATTAGGAGAGAAACACAAGAAGCAGTCACCAGTAAGTTTCAGTTTTGATATCTAGCTGCCAGTACTTCAGCTCTTCTCACCAAGGAGTCACATAGCTTTAATTACATGATTGTTATGGATTTATGAAGGGGAAGGTTAATGTCAATCAATCTGATAGAATTCTGTGACGATTAGCTCATTGAAGGATGCAGTGCAGGCAAGATTGTTTATTGGAATATTAACAAGGCTTTTACTTCTACAAGATCCTTACAGGCAAATCGATGCAGTCCCCAGATCAGGTAAGTGGACAGAGAGGTGGACTGCAAACTGGCTCAGCTGCCCAGCATTCTCATCAGCAGCACAACTGGAGACTGCTCCACCTAGAGACTACTCACCAGCATTCAACCCTAGGGCTTCACACACTAGGGCCATCTTCTTTAATGGCCCAGAGGGCAAGCTTGCAAATGCAAATAATGCCAAAACTGAAGGAGCAGCTGGTATAACAGATGGCTGTGTGCCATTTAGAGAGACCTCAACAGGATGAATAAGTAGGCCAATAGACATCTCAACAAGTAGAAGTGCCAACTTAAATTCACAGAAGAAAAAAATGAAACAATACAATAAACTCCTTCTCCCACCTTTCTACTCAAAAGATACCATCAATCTATTAAGAGTATGAGAGCTGAACTTAAAGGATTTTCCAGCTTTCATTATTATTCAGGAAGCCCTAGAAGCATCTCATCTAGCTGCAGAATGCATTCCACCTGTGATGTCCCCAAGTCCCCTCTACAGTAGGGTTTGCTGCTCTACATAGGCACACTTTGCACCATGAAATCAGAAGTGGCGAGGTGAAGGTGCACCTAACTGGTACAGCATCTTTGGTGATAAGTCCACAACGTTTAGAAGGTCGGTAATATTTCCAAGTGTCAGTAAACATTCCTAGGGGATGATACCAGCAATAGCACATCTTTGGAAAAAACGCTATTTTTTTTTAGCTGCAAGAACATCAAGTCTTCTTCCATGGCATTATAATAGTATACTCCACAGAAAAGAGTTGACACCTTGAAGAAGACATCTGGACCAGAAAGTTATTCAACAACTAAATCTTTGGAAGATACTGCGGTTAATCTTTAAAAATAATAACCAATAACAATAATAGCAATAATAATAATAATGATAATAATCTTCCCAGTCACATTGAATCACACTTAATCCTGTATTTACCATAGGGCTGGTCACATAGTGACTTACCTTACCATGAAGGATTCTCCTGTGACTAGCACTGTATATAACACTCCTTCCTCAATCCCTCACTGCATTGCGAGAAGAAGTACAGTGAAAGCTCTGGTAATGCAATGAACTTCCTCATAAGTCATGTCTTTCAGCACTCACGCCTGTCATAGCAATTGGCATTTTATCTGTGGGGCTGCCAATATGTAATGAGTTTCATACTGGTTGATTTACTCATGTCTCTATTAATGAATGATGAATGACATTTCATCAACACATTGTAAGATACTGGAAAGAAATCTCTACCTTACAAAAAGCCTCCCCATCTGCTGTCTGCAAAACACTGACTAGTCAGTTGGAAGGTACTGCAATTCCATCTACCGAACAACATCCAGAAAACAGTTCAAATATTAAGTACTTTCTGTCACCATATGGTCATGGCCATAGTTCTTCACAATACTAATAGGCAGTTGAAGAAATAAAAACTTCAAGTTTTAAGAAATTCCCTATTTCCCATACTACATTCGAAAAATTCCTTCAGTTTTCCACCCACACATTAAATGACTGTAACAGATGAGGAAAAACTCTTTGTGCAGTACCTTTTTCTACAACTTAATGAAATCTGGAACTGAGCAGAACCTTCTGCTTTTAAAATGAGTTCAATTCTATTACGTGTTTTTTAATTTCACAAACCAGCCTCTGTTGACGTAGGCACAGAAAGTTTATTTTTGCCTCTGATAAACCTATCGTGTATAACTGACATTAATTAGATAAGTCATGGTGCAGGGCTAAGATTATAATCCATTGATAGTACCTGAGGAATAACTCCTGTGCTGAAAAATTCCTCATGCTGCTTCACTATTTACTCCCTTCATATTTAAAACACTTTCTAATACAGAGATTGTAAAGAAATGTTCGCACACTTTAAAAAAAAAAACAACACACAAACATTAACTTCTAAATAACACAGGAAGTATAAAAACACCCACCTTGTCAACCAGTGCCCAAAGTCTGGCCGATGAGCCCACTGGACCCCTGTCTGATTCAAGGATCGAAGGAGTCGACAGCAAATAAGAATGATCCATGGACTTGCTAAGCTTATCCACTTATCTGATCCTTTTACAGATTCAGCTGAAGATGCAGCCTTGCCTAGTTTTGAATTACTTGCTGCTTGTACATCTATATTCTTGCATTCTGGGGCTGCTCCAATACTGTCAAAGTTTTGTTTCATAGTGGTGCCAAGCTGAAGGTCACATTCTTTCAGAAGAAAATGATTTCTACAGAGTTCCTGACACAGAGCCAAACATAGGGTATTGATAAGAAAATACCAAGTTTGATGTTCTTCTTCAATAAAACTGCTTGCTCCCAAACTCAAAACATGACCAATTGTTCCAGCCAGGATCAGCACATCTACTTCAGACCAGCTGGAACTGGATGCACCAAGATTCTGCAAATGAAAAAATGCAACAGAGTAAAAATGCATTAAAAGCTGTTTAAGCATTCAAAGTGTGCTTACTGCAATATCCTACAAATAAACCAAATAAACAATGAGACAAGTTATTTTTACCTTGACAAATCCTACAAATTTATGAGAGGTTCATTTTATTGTTGCCTATTTAGTTAGCATTACAACAGAACATTATTTAAGATAGCATTCTGTTTAAGGTAAATAAATAAATAAATAAATAAAACCTTAATAATTACAACTAAACAGATTAAAATTCCGTACCACCCTCTGACAAAAAAAAAAAAAAGTTATTTCGCTGTCAAAGTGAAAACAGAAGTCTTGCAGAAATCAAACTTGAGATGCAAATAATCAGCAGTTTTCTAATTGGTTAAGTCTGTGATGTTCTCAATTCACCACAGTGACAGCTTTCACTACTCTAATTAACAAAAGTTACTTGCAGACACAGTCTGATGTATGTCTTATTCCTGTTTATCTTGAAACATGTCCATCATCATAAAATATGCTATCAAGCTATTATTTACTTCACACGCTGTGGTTATCCTGTGGTTATCTCAAAAAAAAACAAAAAAACAAGAGAATTCTTTGTCTAATGCCTCCATTAGTTCGATTTCTTGCGCAGCAGCTCCTTCAAAGTGCTCCATCATCACTGCCTTCAATGATATTGCTAAAAAGAGAGTGTAAGGGAATGGGGAATGTGGGAGCATCTGGTTCACTAGAGTCATCAGATTAAAGGCCTTCTCACCTCATAGGGAAGGGGAAATAAAAGAGAAAGCCATTAACAAAACACACAGAGACAGAAACCTGATAAGTAAGCACTAAGGGAGACAGTAAGTGGGACCAGAACTCTTCAGCCATTAATTGATGGGCCATTAAGAAAACACAGGCAGAGTCTGAAGAGCATCAATCTGGCCTTTGCAACTGATAAGGGGGAAATAAGCTAACACCAGTAGGATGGGTATCTGAGGGGGCCTGTGGAGATATGCATACTTACTAGTAAGGAATGCTTCAGGAACATGTCAAAGTTGGCAGAGATGGGATGCAGAGAGGCAGGGTAGAGGAAGGGGGAAGATAGGGAAGGGCCAGTCATATAAGAATACAAGCCAGCCAGCCATCCCTCTGAGAACCCTACACCTGACTGCTGCAGTCTGTTACATCTTGCCAGAGCTTGTATCTGCCTTGCTGCGTAACTTCACCCTCAGTCCACATATGAGCACTGCAAGGCCCTATGGCCAGCAAGGCCTTGAGCCACACAATTCATGAGCCTTGTGTCAGCAACTGCAGAGACTGGCATTGTGTATGGCTTTGCGAGAGGTCAAAGGCACGTGGCTGGAGAGGCATCAGTGTGTTTATCTTTCCTTCTGCTAAATATAATCCTCTGCATTATGAGACTATATTTAATTTGACAGAAAAACCCAGGCCAGGGTTCGAGCAAGAGGAAAACCTGTCCCTCAGAAGACTTGAAGTCTGAGCTGAATGTTGGCAGGAGAACCTGAGCACAGTTCCAGCAGAAAGGAAGAAGATATGCCCAAGCCCAAAAGCAGCACGGGCTTCCAAACACATCTTTGTTAATAAAGCCATATATCTGTGAGGCATTCTGACAAATGCCAAAATCATCAAAATCAAAAAGCATCATTTGTCATTTTATGTTCTCATTAATCTTTCCTCCATGAGTGAATATCAAGCAGTGTGTCTTACGCTGATATTATAAATAAATAGACAAATCCAAACCACCCCAAGTCCTATTCACTCCAGAACAAAAATCTGCCGTCACTTTCACATTAACCTCAAGTATATACTTCAACTATGATTCACTGACTTTGTGAATAAACTTAAAAAACAGCCTTGAATATTCATAGAAATAAATTGCACATATAAAACATAGATGAACCCAGAACACCACAGTTTAAATCATTTACACTAAAATAATATAGAAACTCAGTAAGCAGAGAGCAGGTAACCAGAATGAGGATATAAACACATTAAAAATGCTGAACATCTACATGCAATTCTGAAGTCTCACTTACGCTTAAGCTTTGTAGACAGTAGCTTAGGTTTTTGTTCAGTAATCGAGAATACGGAGAAGACAACAAACACACTTGACCCAAGAAGTTCATTAATGCTGCCTTGATTTTGCTTTGAGGAAAGCAACTTCAGGCTGGATATTAAGAAAAACTTTCTTTTCAGAAAGAATTGTGAGGCATTTTGAACAGGGAGGTGGTGGAGTTACTGCCTCTGGAGGCATTGAAGATATGGCACTGAGGGACATGGTTGGTAGGCACGGTGAGGATGGATCTTACTGATTTTTTCCAACCTTAATGATTCTGTGATTCTATGAACTTCTGTAAAATCAAGACTGAATAAGATTTATGAAAATGATTGCAGGAGGTACAATTAAACTAATCACCTATTCATATAATCTCTATTTACTGTGCTGTTAAAGAGATCTATTATTCAAAAATCCTTAAGAAACAAAACCAAACAACAAGAAAAATAGGTAACTTAAAAAATTATCAAAGAAATCATCATCATTATCTCAAAAACCGTATATACCCACAATCTGAATTTATTAGTGCTTGAAATTTCTTTGGTGCAGATCACTCCCTTCTATTCAGTGTTCTACTGTGAAAATCAGAAACCATAAACTACATCTTGGAACAAAAGGTCCAGGTAGAGCTGTTGTCTGCTCGGACCATGAAGTTCACAAAGACTGACATATTATGGGTGCATCAATGAATTATAGAAAGCTTAAACTCCAGTAACCTCACTATGCTGACCTTAGAAGCCTTGACTAACTGAATGATGAGTGAGAATGTACGAACCATCTGCTTGCAGAGACAAAGCAATACAAGATCCTCAACTAATGAGAACGAACCAGTCTTCAATACTATTCGTCTCTTTTATAAGACATAAAGTCTACAGAAGGATTGCTGTATTGTATTGGATGGTTGTCAGCACTGACAGGAAAACAAGTTCTTCTGGCAGAACAGTAGGTTCATAAGCTGAAGAGAAAATGATGTATTATCAACAGGAGAACACAGCAACCTCATAAAAATTACTGTATTAGTGAGAAACGTCCCAGTGTCAGAAGTCTACATTTTATGTCTGACTAATAATTGCAGTGAAAATGAAGAAAAAAAAAAAAATACTCCTGCATTGATATCAAAAGGTTAAATCCAACATATTTATTGATAAGCCACATTTCAGGCCAGAGTTAGGGACCTGAGCAAATGTATGCAAGTTGAAAAACTATTCTGCAAATGATTATCTCCTGAACCTTAACGGTCTAAGAAATGATGAAAACACCTTTATTGAGGTGTTCTAAATTTACTGGTAATCCCTCCTGTGACGTGTTAGGAACGTTATCATTAAGGCTTCTGTTGTTGTTTATAACGTAGACTAACAACAGATTACTTGGATTGTGTTACTTTCTGGACCTATTTTTACAGGCACAGAAAAGTAGGTCTGACTTCAATATACACTGGTCTGAGCTCCTAGTTGCTTAATACCTCCAGCTCTCAGGAACCCAGTAGGCACTCCAGATAGTAAATAACTAATTATTTAGTTAATTTTTATTTAATAAGTAAACAGTAAATAAAGATGACTCGCACCACTATCCTGATACACAAACGTAGTATGAAATCTTCAGTTTATGAGATTTCTAAATGCCAGGCTTTCAATTTAAACCTCTCATTTGCCAACCCAGGATAGATTTAATATTTGACGTACAGGCATCGGTAACTAAATAACACAGAAAGAGATGCCTGAAAAATCTTTTGCTAGCCTACACAGGTGCCAGTAAATGATGCAATATATGCACCCCTGTCCATGCAAATTGTTTTTTTTTTACTTTTAAATAAAAACATCTAGTAAATAATCTTCCACGTCCAATTCCAGTTACATACTTTCTGTTCAGCTCAGAGTAAAGATCTTTTTCACAATAATTGACTTTCCATATTTAATGGCTGGGAAATCCTAAAGTCACTTTCTAGACATGAAACATTTTATTTTTATGTCCACCATCACCCAAAATTTAAATACTCACCATTTAATTCACTTTGGATACTTGAGCTACTTGCATCCAGTCTTGTTTTCTAATGATGACTATTTCCCTATAGCAAAACTCTACAGACCGTATCTGCCCCTGATGCTCTATCACAGCAGGCTGAGGTCATTTTTAAGAGCGACTCAGTCATGGCATCATCTAATCACTCATTTCCACCCCCCTCAAATAAAAGAAATGCAAACATATTTTTAGGTACAATTGTATAAAATGTTTTACTTTTCAAGTCAGTGGGCAATACTGCACAGAGGAAAAAAAAAAAAAAGGAATTTAAATGAACAGAGTATTTTAAAATTAAAAAAAAGGGACATTTTGTCTAAGTAATGAAAAAACATTACAATACTGCACAATACAGCTTCTCAAAACTGTATTTGACAAGCTTAAGCTTTGGGTTCTATTTTCATAGAGCTACTGATTCTGATTTATATCAGAAATACGGGGGGAAAAAAAAATTTTTAAGTAGTAGTAAATACTGTATTTAAAACTGCCATTAGAGTAATCCTATGAAGAAGTAGTTAACACTTTTTAAAGATCTGCTGCTGCTGGTAAAGGGCTGCGGAATTATTTAAAGCCGTGTCATTAAAAGAAGGGACCAGCGCTGCTAGAAACATAGTAATCAGAACCTATAAATAACAGTCAGGAAGCAGATGCTAACACTGCCTGCACTGGGCTTCAGAAAATTCATGAACTTGGTAATCAGTTTCTATATTCAGTCACAGTGGAAAAAAAAGAGCATTACAAATGAGAAGCACTTGAAAAAAATCTTTAGATGTGAACGGAAACAATTTAAAGAAAAAAAAAAGCTCTGAAGTCATTAACAGTAGAATTTATCTTAATTGCTTTTAAAATACCTGCAGTTTACCATACAGCATGAGCTTAGGAAATGCTTTTAGCGTTTTTAAATGGCAAGACCTTGATTTAGCATTCTTCTGACATCTGAAAAGCAGGATTTCATAACTGTTTCAAATGTGGAGAGCACATGCAGATTCACAGGTCATGGCCACTTGGATTCAGAGAGTTTAGCATAACAATACTCCTAATTCTAATAGAAGCCACTTCAAGATAGACAGAGAGTATAAACAGACAGTTTCTTCCCTAAAGTCTCAGTATTCTGCTGGAAAAAAAAGGATGGAAAATGAGATGCAATTGTGTATGTATTTTACTGATTGCCCTCCAAATACTTGTCAGTAATCTCTCACGCCCACAACAAAGGCAGTACTGGATTATTTTCTGCTCCCTTTCACATTCTCCAGGCTCTATCTTTGTATAAACAGCTACCTGCAAGAAGCCACCAGTTTCTTTCCTGCAACAGCCCTGAAACTGGAAAAATGTAAATCAAATAAAGGGTCACTGCTTTTATAGATCAGGAACAGAAGCAATTACTAACTAAACATGCAGGGCATTCTAAGTTGCTCTGGAACACAAACAGGTATAGAAAAGCTTATTTGACAATGAGATGAGATATGAACCCACTAATCCAGTCATTTATGGAGTGGGATGAAGATGGGTTGATGAAAATCCATTTCTAGAGGTCTGCCTTCATAAGACGTATTTCAGCTTCTCACATCCTCAAATATGCCCTACGTATGAAATATAAATACAGCCTAGAATGGAAAACCCAGTACTTTTTTTTTTCTTTTTTATCTGTACCTGCCCTCATCTGGGAGTGAGGTAATCCTGAAAATACTGCTGAAAATGTCCTCGTTCATTTATTACCAGTTAGAAGCAGCTAATCTTTTGCTGGTACGTGCTGATCTTCCATTTAGTTAAAACAGTAGAAAATGTGCATGATTCATGATGCACCAATTTCACAAATTCCCTAACCTTTCCAGTCTAAGAAAGAAACATTTGAGTTGATAGATGTTCTATTACAAATGCACATATTTTCCAAGGTGAGAGGCAAATAAGCACCTTTGTGTCCAAGAGACACTATACAATCACTTTCCTAAAATGACAGAAGTGTTACTGCCAGTAACACCAGTTTTCACATGTGAATCAAGTTTTTCCCACTTCCTAAGTTCCAGATGGGCCTGAACAACTGGTACCAAACAGGAAAAGAAGGCAAGCTGCTGCTGAATCCTCCATCTTCAAGTAAAAAAGTACTGGGCTTACAGTTCTACATCATCCAGGGAGAAAGCTTCAGCTGATGAGCTCTCTTACAAGCAGAACGTAGGGTGCAGGAGGCAAGGACACAAACCTAGAAACAGTATTTAGCATATTGCATCCCATCAGTCTATTTTTGCTCAATTAGTTCTCAAAAACAGACGTAAGGGGAAAACAGGGTAAGAAAAGAAGACAACTGAAACAGACAGAACAAAAAGCTTTTCACACATACTTGATGTGTTCCTTGACAAAATTATCTGTGTGCATTAGAGTAATAACAATTAGTTTGTTTCCTAAGGAAAACCATTCCATCCAATTTTGAATACTAGGCGGCATTTTGCAATTTCTGCTGTCATCACTGACAGAGCAGTTTCATTAGCAGTACATAAGCCATCTGCAGGAAGTTCACCAGCAGCTGCCTCTCACCAGCAAGGATGTAAATGTGCCAAAAACAGATGGGGATGATACCCTAAGACTCACGCCAAACTAGAAACTCATATCTGTATAGCAGTATGTGGTAAGAACCTGTTCTAAATTTATCACTGAAAGAAAAGCTCACCCATGCTATGGAAGGAGAAAAGAGTGTGCCTTGACCCTTTGCTTCAGATACCCTGAAAAGCTACCACAGTTTGGGAAGCCCCAAAACATCTGGGTCAAAGCCACTCAAAGGAGGACTCAATGACTTCTCTGAAGTTTCCTGGGTCACCCCAGATACCCAAAGGCTAACAGTAGTGAAAGACCTACACTGTGTTCACATACTCTTTGATCAACTCAATGTGTTGTTGGTTCTGGCACCACTGCTGGGCTTCGTAAAGCTGAATGCCTTTGGCATCCAAGAGACCTCATGATTTACAGTTCACAAGTGTTTCTTTTCAGTAAGGAGCCCTACTAAGATCCTGTTATTCCCTGACAGTTCCCCAAAGGAGAGAAATGCAGGAATGGAAAATGTTACACAGCAATACTAAGACAACGCCATCTTCAAAATCAGCAAGCTGAGATGGACACTACCTGTCCATTTCAAGTATACATGTAGATGGTTAGCTAACAGGCATTCAGTGGCCAGAGAAACAAAACTCTGTAAGAAATTACAAGCCATTAACTGTCACAAGAGAAAGCACGATTCAATCCCTACCACACAGAACATTATCTCATATGAAGAATTCATAATTCCCCATAATTCTGGGGAAAAGAAAGTAAATAATAAACAGAAGGAAGATTGGATCGGACTGCTAAAAGGCAGAAAACTCAGAAGAGAATCATCAAAATTACAGACAAACAATACTGTGCTAACAGCTCTCCAGGTCAGTCTCATCTCAAAAGAAAAAAAAAAAGAGGAAAAAGAAAAAAGAAAAAGCCACACAGCAAAAGGTGTGACAAAATTAAGCAAAATGAAGGAATAACAAAGGCACAGAAGCTGCCCTATTACAGAGTTTAAAGTTTCCCTAAGGAAGTCCCCAACAAACAAAAATTTTGAAACACAAGCAGAATCTCTTTCATAACAATTTTGCAAAGTACTTCAAGCTTACTTGTTATTCCTTGAGTATGAAGGAAGAAATACAAACAAAAAAACAGTACAGAAAACAGGTCTTCAGGCATCTGAAGCCAAATGCAGAGCACTAGCCTCTACTGAGATAAGCACTTTTATGTGAAGAATATTTGCACCACATCCTTTCCTATAGAGGCTTCAAGCTTTATCTTAAACCTGTAAGAAAAGTATTGTGCTCATTTTCTCAACAAACTTCAGAGATAGGCAGAATGCAGTTTGAAGCGCAATACCGCTGTGTGAAGACTAGTTCTCCTTTTATCTTTAACGAGACAAAAGATAAGAGACCATTAAAGCCCACTACTCCTATAGTGGTGGGTGTCACAGAGAATTAACTCTTTTCTAGGTATATAAGGAAGACTTCAAGTCAAAAACAGACTGAGTTGTTCTGAGACTGCCATCACTGTTCTTGATCAAGTTAAAGAGGATTGTGTGTAAATTTTATGTAGGTATAGGCCATCATCACTGTAAGGTTCTTACTGTTGACTAAAATTAGGAAAAAAATTAACACGCAGGATGACAAATGAGCTTGTTTCCTGCAGTTGCTTTTCCTTACTGTTGCACAGCAAATAAACATTAAGATTCTAAGCATTCCAGTAATCATTAACAATTATTTCAAGGTCATACGATTTTCCTTCCTACAAAAGAAAACTTCCATCTCATTATGTAACCCAGAAAAGGCTAAACTGAATCCATTTAAAGACAAACACACTCCTAGGTACTAACAGCGCTAACAAACCATAAGACAAGACATCTTCTCCAGCAGATTTTTCCATTCACACAGATTAATTTTGTGTTATTTTATTTGCCTTTAAAAATAATCCACAGAAGCATCACTAGGCTTGGTATCAAAACATTACAACTAGTTTGACACGATAATGAAAATTACTGCAGAACTACAAGGAAATTACCCAGTCAGAAAGACTCATGCTAGGAGTTATACCTCAAATGAAACTTCTTTCATCATTAGTGATGAAAGATATCATTAGTGGCATTTTACACTATTTCAGCCTAGATATTCAACACACACACAAACTTTACGTTACCAGTAAATACGAGCATAAGAATGAAACACCACGACCTACTACAACTCTCTTCCTTGATCACTTTTAATACACTAAGTGGCACGAAATAAAACTGAGAAGGAAAAAAAAAAAGCTGCCTTCAAGAGAGGAGGATGGAATTACTTTTAGCGCAAGGCTTCTCTCTCAGAAAAATCAGATATCTGAGAGAGAATGGCAAATTCAGAAGTTACAGACACAAAATGATAAATTCCAACTTGCACAGCTCGAATCATAAAAATCAGCAGCCTCACTCAAAGACTTTAAACGTATAGTTAAGTTCAGGAATTCCAGCATATATTTATAAATACTGCAGTACTAATTCAGCTAAGTATTGTCTTTTTTCAGTTACTCTGAATACAGCAATTACATACTTATCTAATTCACAAATCTACTTTTTGCTTGAAAAAATGCTCTTGCAAAATATCATACATGTTGCATCAGTTGCAGTTGTGAAACATCTCTGCGTATGAGTTTATAACTAGTTAAACTGTTTTTTGTAACAGTTAAACTGCTTCTGACATCACTAAAGTCATCTGTAGAATAATGTAACCTGATTGGAATGTTTCTCAAAGTAAAGGGAAAATAAGCACTTGTGTCATCTTCTTTCCAACAATCTTTTATCATGTCACAGTGAACATGCCACATTTCAACACTAATTTTGAATGATTCTAATTACGTTACAAACAATTCCTCTATGTAAACACGCACAAAAATCTTCCACAAAACTTCACTTGGAAGTATGCCACAAGGAGCAAAACTGTGAACCATAATGAATGCATGCTCTCACCTTCAGTGGAAGTCTGGAATTCTCAAGAGTCTTTCCAACGGCAGATAAAATACCGCACATGAGTGCAGAAATCAGCATCATCACTCCAACTGCAGTTAACCAGGACATACTGCAGAAATAGCATAAACTTTCTGCTGATGTGCATACAATGACGTGAACTGCACACAGCATCAGACACATCAAGTAAAACAGCAGAGAGAAGAGCGGAGGGGAGAGGGGCACTTCAAATTCTGCCCGACTGCTCAGAGCTTTTGGTACACTGAGAAAGAGTAGGAGCAAAACCTACAGGGGGGAAAAAAACAAAAACAGAGAACCGACAGGTAAAGAATCAGAATTAGCTAAGGCATACAGCCAGAATTCACACACACAAAACTCATGCTGTGTCATCCGTGTAACTCTAATATATATACTTCATCTTAAAAAAGCCATGAAACACTATGCTGGGTGGTCCAACCAAAGCAAGACTTCACCATATAAAGGGGCAAGGCAAAAATAGTGCTTTTCTTTATCAGTTTAAGGGGTTGGACTCACAGTTTATCAGGTTTTAATAAATAAACAAGTGCCTCCTGACCTGCTGTGACTGACGATGTGCATGATCTGCTTTCACTTTAAGAGTTTCAGCGCTCCACAGAATTAAGTGTTTTAAGTCTCAATGCCAAAATAGCTCTTGAATAAACAAATCTGACTTATTATTTATAGCCTACAAAGGCCTGAAGTGACATGCACACTCTAACAATGGTCATTTATCTCAGATTTCTTGCTGAGCCAAGTAGCTTCCCAGACCAGGGAAAGTGCTCATCTTATCACGTAAGTGTATGCTGTTTTCAGAGCTTAAGAATTCTCCTGGTGTTTATTTTTGCCCCCCTCCTTATCTTAATTTGATTTACCGATTTCACTTTGCTATAGCCTGCACACCAATCACTTAGAACTCCAGGCTTTTTCCCAGGTAACTGTACCAGTGAAGATGAATACCATCATTAGCAATTTCTGCTACCTATGTGCATGTAAAGAGAAAATCCAGCCACATACTGTAAGGATGCTCTGCAAGAGGCACACACATACCTAGTAATAAACTAGGCTCAATCTGTTTGTGATAGGGCAAGTTTAAAATAAATTTAAATAAAAAACTATTCTATCAGAGGACAGTCAATCTGTAATCATTCACTTATGAAGACCTCTACCTAAAACTCACCCATCATTACAGCTACATATAGTAAAAATTAACACTTTAAAAAATTTTGTTACACTGCAGTAGTCTATTCACTTACATTATACCTTCCACAATTCACTTACATTTGGAAGCATGAGGTTTCACAGTATCATATTGGCTCAGGTTTTACTTTATAATACAGGACTGAAAATTATAACAAAGCACTCAGTATACTAAAACGCCCAAATTGTAGTTATCTACAAATCTATATTTAGCTTTTTTGAGTAAATGCATGGTTATTAATGTACTAGATGTATTCTCATCATTTAAAATATAGGATTAATAGCACTTGTAGATTCGTGTAGTTTGAAGTCACTTGTAACATTTCCTGCCTTTATTTCTACAGTAAGGATGGGAAATACATACAGAACTGAAGGGGACTATGTGGAGCTTGCTGGGGGTCCATCCCCATGGGGATGCACAGTATAATAAAGGACTTTCCTATGACAGAGGCCTCTGGTTGTTGAACTGCGACATAAAACAAAATGATCTTGGAAAGTAGGCCAATTTCTTGAGTTCTGAATTGGAAAAAAAATAACCACACAAAAAACCAGGCTGTACTGTCTAGTTTTCCAGTGACACCAAGCAGGCTCTCATCAGGCAGACTTTTCACTGTTAGAGCTATTAGGTGAAGGTTTCCATTGATAAAGAGCCATTAACTAAAATACTGATATCTGTTTTGTTGAAAAACTAAGCATCAACAACCGCAAAAAAAGAAATCCAGTGCTTCAGGTACAAAGTGACTGTAAAGGCTTGAATCCTTACGTTCACAAAACAAAGGAACATGAAAGGACTATAAGCACTTCAGCTCCAGAGTGGCATTGGCCATCTCTAGATTTGCTGTCCTAGAGGAGGCACAGAACCTACCATCCTGTGCCCTGTGGGGACTGTGGAACTAGCTCCTGTCAAGAGGTATGCAGTGATACAGCCCATTGAGAAAGCCATCTCAAATGTGCTCTGTGCACAACACGAGGAATACAGCTTGCAAGGGCTGAGAAGACTCAAATACAAAACAGCTACTTATCACCTGTTACCCATTCCAGCCACAGAACACAACTAGATGCATAGCTATTATACAGCCTTGTAGGTGTATATGATGCTGTATGCAGGCCAGGTATATCTGTCCCAGAGAGCTAATTCTCACAGAAGTTGACAAAAACGCCACCTAAACTGTAAGTGCACGTTTTTGTATATGTGAGTGCAGGGTAACTCACCAGCAAACTCACTTCTTCAAAGCATTACCACAGAGACAATTTCCAGCACATGAGACCTCCCCAAACTATCAATCGCAAAGAATCACTTAAAATTCCAGAAATGTGATATCTTATCTTTACTCCTACAAGAGATATGGAATGGCAACTCTGCCTCTTCCAGCAAGCACTTGTTTCAGGACTACTGACTTATCAGTACACCAAGAATTCTCAGAATGGTGGAGAAAAAATTGGGCATATGGGGTTTAGCTTGTTCTGAGCAGCTGTGTTTGTTGTTAGATAAAGGTGAAAAAAGTAGGAACTTCACTGCAGATTTTTTTTTTTTTTTTTTTTTTTTTTTTTTTTTACACAGGAAGTTGGAACTAGATCTTCAAAGTGCCTTCAAATCCAAGCCATTCTTTGACTTGTGACGTGCATATATACCAAGTTACACCAAGACACAGGCATCATGTGTTCTCTTGAATCATTTCAAAGGGTAATAATTTAAAAAAAAGAGTACTACGTTAATTTTTCAAATACGAACAAACCTTAAAATACTTAATTCTGAAGAACATACACTAAAAAGTCAAACAACAGGAAATTTTATGCCTTGCATTTAGCTTTTTCCATAAAAAGACATATTTTTTGTTTACCTCCATAATGATCACAGTCCCCACCATCATTGAATACATATCATATTGTGCCACTTGTTTGCTTAGCGAAGAACTCAACGTCCTCAAGGCCTCCAAGTATTGTTTCAGGACCTTTTTGCCAAGATTTAAGAGTATTTCTGAATTATTCCCCTCTAGGTACAGTTTGATCCAATTACCATGGGATTTTTCTGCTATCTTAAACTGCTCGTATCCAAGATCTATTAGGGAGGGAAAAAAACAACAGGTTAGAGGATCCATGGACAACGAAGATAATTAGAGATCTAAACATACTTATATATTTTTTCATGTTTGCTTGTGTAATCTACAGAAAAACTGCTACAGCAGTTGAAACTTATTTTGTAGACAGGAAGTAGCATTACCTTCCAGCAAGTCCATAATGTTACACTGAATAAAAGCAATTAATCCCCAAACAAATAAAACGTCAAAGACTCTAAAAGTGACAAATACATTAAAACAGCCATTTACTTTTACAAAAGGTTTCCAAGATAAACATACCCAAATGCTTTAAATCCTTAAAACAATCTTTTTTTTTTTTTTTTTTTTCCCTCCACTGGAGCTATTTACTCTTCAGGCCGTTATTTCACAAGTAGGAAATCATCAGATTGCTGAAGAAACTTTATTTTTTGAAGAAACCACTGAAGGACCTACACAAAGCAGATTAAAGGCCCTGATTTTGCTGCAGCAAGTGATGAGAATCAGCTGGTAACACAAAGTGAAACACAAAATAAGCTGTATTTTGATGCAGGCATAGGAAAGTTAACAACTGAAGTGCATGGTTTGGCTTCAGTCATTTGGATTAACAAGCTGGTGCAAAACAATCCTCCTTCCACGAAGCTAGATACTCTTGCTACTGTATAAGGGCTGACCACTGCCCAAACTAGACTGAAAAAAAAAGAAAACCTGATACTGCTACTAACCCACAGAAGTAAAAGGCTTGTAACAGAAGGTGATTCATGACGGCCTAGCCACATTTAAAAGCATTCTGTCCAGAAGTAAAACTTGTGGCAGGCGGGAACACTAACCTTGAGTGATGACAACAGGCGAAATAGGGAAGAAACAAATATCCAAATCCTATTTTAGAAGTCCTTTGCAATTACAGCAGCAGTGGCTTTCATCCTGCATGTATTTTCCTTTCCATAAGTACTGGTTATTCCACAGAATCCTTACTTTACACTAAGTTAGAGTTGATATATGACACAGAGTGTCCACATTATGTGGATAGGCAATGAATGTTACAAGACAATTCAAAAGATGCAAGAGAGCCCCACTACTTTACTCTCCCATAACTAATGCTGTTTTCCCACTGCCAGCTTTCCCACTGTTAAATATTCACAGAAAAAGCTGCAGCACAGTAATTCCTGACCAGTCTTGACAGCATTTTTACTTCCCCAAAAGATATATTCAGCAATGACAATAAGTAGATACTGCAGGCAGGCATAAAAGAGACACAATTTTGTTCACACATAGAAGAAAATTAGAACAATTCATAATCATAAACATGAAATTTAAAAAGAAATCTGCAAAAAATTAATAGTTTGAGACTTATATCCACTTCAGCATTATACTCAGTTGTAAGTTTAATTTCAAGAACATGTATTCACAACACAGCAAATTAGATTAGCTGCTGTGTTTTACTGTAAATGTTGACAGTGGTATTGTATCTTAAAGCACTTAAGATATCCTTTTCTTCATCATTTTATAGGTGCTTTGCCCCATACTCCAACATGCCCTACAGTATTTAAAAATTGGCCATTGGGAATAACGTGCACCCACAACACAATCTCAATTTAGAACAGAAGAAAATGTATTTCAGTAGGCACTATGCTGTGTGAACATATATACCAACCTGCACTGTTTACAATAAATGTTTCTTTTGCTTCACTTCAATAATTATCAGAGAACAAGAGAACATCCCAAGTCAGGAAGGAACCACATGGATCAGTGAGTCCAACTTGTGGCTCTACAAAGAACCCCTGCTACTTCCATGCTATTTCACACTATGAAATTAATAACAAGGGCAAAAAGAACAATCGAAATGGTTATTTAACAAGCCTAACACTGTCCTCCTAACTTTAATTTCTTAACTTCCTACTTAAAAAGTAAGCTAAACATTTACTGTGGTGTTTCAAAAAGCAAGGGTTAAAGTAATCAGTTGTTGGTGTTTCGCAGAGCTCAGTCCTAAGGCAGTTCTGTTCAACATTTTTATGATGAATGACACATGAGTGGAGTGCCTTGGCAAGGTCACTAAACTGAAAGGCACTGTTGACTTCCTGGAGGTCAACAAGAGTCCTTGCAGATGGATCTAGATACACTGGAGCACTGGACAATCATCAGCACCACAAAATTCAGGAAAGAAAAACGCCGGGTTCTGCACCTAGGACAAGGCAATGCCAGACATAGGCACAGATGGGAGATGAGTGCCTCAAGAGCAGTACAGCAGGAAGGGACCTGGCAATGCCAGTAACATCAGCACAGCTATCCAATTAAAAGAGGTGAATGTCCCCATTTTTTTAGCACCTTTTTGAAGACTGTGTGCAGCTCTGGTCTCCACCGTATCACAAGCATGTTGAAGTCCTTTAAAGTATCCAGAGGACACAGCTGGATGACATGTTCTATGAAGTGACCTTGAGGACACTTGAGCTATCTGGTTTAAAGAAAAGGAGGCCGAGAGATCTCATCATTGCTCTGTGCAATTTTTGAGGAGGGGAAGGGGAGTGGGAGATACCAGAGCTCTCTTCTCCTCTTCTCTCCAGTGATTCATGATAGGATGCAAGGCAATAGCACAAAGCTGTACCAGGCGAGGTTCAGGCTCAGCATTATGAGAAATTTACAAGGTCAAACAATGGAACAGACTTGCTAGAGAAATGGTTGGAGCCCCATGGCTGACAGTCTGCAAGAGACAATTGGACAATGCCCTCATTAATGTCCTTTAACTCTGTTTAGCCTTGAAATAGTCAGACAGTTGGAATTAATGATCTTTTCCAAATGAACTATATTAAAAAAATACACTGGTTATACTACACTGGAGGCTTACAAGTATCTGCTGGTGAGTACAGTTCAATCAGCAGCAAACACTTGCATATCAAGAGAGCTGCCAGTGTGCACTAAGACTTTCACAACATAACTCTTAAACAGCGAATTCCCTAGAAAGTTTTTCTTCTGGCATGTAAATTCAAATAACTCCTACTTGAAATGAGAGTTAAACATTCATACTTTTGAGGAAATCCAGAATGGATTATCTAAAATGAGCTTCAATCAAACCAAGATTTGGCACAGCACCATTATATTATACAGAACACTAAAATTTGCCCAAGTTATATTTGGAAATCTAAGTAATTTCTGTCTACAACTTCTGTTCCTCATCCAATTCCATTTCTTTTTTTTTTTTTTTTCAACCCCCCCAGTCTCCTTCTGTATTCCTTTTAGCATATTTATTTCACTCTTCTGCATCTCTTTTGGTTATGCTTCCCAAGCACCTGGTTGATAGTTTTATTTAATTACAGTCGCAGGCAGCAATCGTATATTTATCAAAGTTCTTAATGAAATGAATTTATGATGTAGAGGCAACTTCTCCAGTTTCAGTACATAAGTCTCAGAAATCAGCAAATTATTTTGTTCAATATAAACATATAACACAAGCTTAAGATTGGGACCAAACTAAAGAGCGGACTTTCATTTTATTAATATCCAACTTGTATTCAAGTATGGCTTTTTGTTCTACCATAATGTGCCTTGTACAGAAACAGCCCTAGTTGTATAAGATAATTTAGATGAATGATCTGCAGTTTAGAACAAAAAGGAAGTAGTACTATCTCCTACAACTGCCCACCACACTGAGATAAGAACACTGTCACACAATCAAGAGTGCTCTTCTAGATGCAGTGGACTGTTCTAAAATTCTATGAATAACAATTATATTTAAAAAAAAAAAAAAAGCATTTCTGCTCAGAATTCAACTGAAATTTCAACATCTGCCAGTTGTCACTAACCAAGAATCTGAAATAGAAATTTTCAACTTTTAGTTTGCAAATGAGTGAGATGTTTAATTGGGTAATTACTGAGGATTCTTATCCTCAAAAAACTTGATAGCACACTCCACCCACAGAACTCCGAAATAGTATGGCCCAAGATTTGTCAGCACACCTCAAATGAGTGTGCAGGTGGTCCACAAAAAAGAACCAGAAGGCTCAGAACAGAGCTAGAACACTGTTTAGAACTGTGCCCAGTCATATCTTGAATGGCTGCAAATACAGAAACTACACAAATTCTACATGCAACTTACTCTAGTGTACTACTATCCTTACAGAAAAATGTTTCCTTTCATTTAAGTTTAATGCCTCTTATTCACTCACCAAGCACCAAATTTAGTTTGGTTTAGTCTTTTTTATTTCCTTCCTTCAGGCATTATATACATTGCTAAAGTCTTTCTCATGTCTTCTTTTCTCCAAGCTGAACAGCCCAAGCATCCTCTGCCCCTCTCCTAGTGTATGACAGATGTTCCAGGTCTCTCACTCATTAGATTACAATGTCCACATCCTCCTTATACAGGGGAAGCCAGAGTTGGGTCAGTGACCCCACACGTGATATGACTATAACTGAGGAAAGAGGAAAAAAAAAGCCCTGTATACTGTTGGCCTTCTTTTCAAAATGATGTATTGCTGGTTTACGTTCAACATCATATCCACAAGACCCCTTGTCTTTTTCCATCAAGCTGCTCTTCAGGCACTCAGCATCAAACCTGCATTTTCTTCTCCCTGGATGCATTTCTCTTTGCTGAACTTCATGAGGTCAGGCCATTTCTCCAGTTTGTATTAATAGCACCAAACTCATCTGCTGTATCTTTCTTCAAGTTCTGCACCATCTGCAGTATTGCTGAAGGATGCTCTACCACATTATCTAGCTCATAAATGAAGATGTTCAACAGTACTGGCCTCAGTACTGTTGGGATCTGCACTAGTGACTGGACTTCAGCTTGGCTTTGTGACTGATCACAACTGATCACAGCCCTCTGAGCCTGGCAGTTTAGCCACTTTTCTGCATTGACCGTTCATTTATCTAACCTGTAAGGCACATTCATCTCAAAGTATATTATGGGAGACAAACATGTTACCAAGGCTATTGTGACGACACAAACGACATCCAATTCTCTCCATTTATCCGCCAAGCCAGACATTTTGTAAGGTGGCGTGAAATGTGGGATAGTATTTACCCTCAGTTACCAAACAACCCAAAGCTAAGCACCATCCATCCAGACTTTGGAACTACAGGCAGCATTAGTCACCAATTTAGCAACTTTTCAGTATTTCTATGGACTCAAGTATCCACCTTAATGAACCTTACCACTAAATAAACAGCCAGACATCTTTTATTCCCCTGCCAGTCTCAACGGTACTCAAAGTTTCCTACAGCTGTGTATTAAGATAAAGCCTTACTTATCTAGGAACCTGTGAGAACAGCAAGACTCCTTAATACATGTACAGCAACATAGAAAATTCATCTTAAGAAACTGCACAAAAAACTACAGGGACTTAGATCTGATTCCATCTTACAGAGGCTATGTTACTGAAAAGAGAGAACCTAATCACAGAGGCTCAGCTGCCCGCTACTGTCCTATCTCCAGTAGTATAGCACTCCTCATAGCAGTTCACAGTCACAAGCAAGTAGCATAAAAACCTTTACATTTCCTCCAACTTGAGTAATTTTTATTTCTTTTCTCAAAGGAAAGCTACAAGTTGAAATAATGCTGTCCCTGGAAAAAATGAAGTAAAAACAGAATCTGGAAGAAACTTCAGCCTGCTTCACCAGTGCTTGAGGAAACAGTCAAATGGAGTTTTGTGTTGGAATTTTCAATTAAAAAAAAGCCATATTCCAAACTATACCAACATAGTGAGTTCCTTTATTTGACCCATTTGCTGGAGGAAAAAATACCAGTATAGGACTTTATTATCATAGCATTATCTACACTAACATTTCACTACCATGGGCAACATTTGTTTTAACAGGCTACTGGACAGGGTTTAATTATGATTAGAAGCCATGATGTTGAAAGATAGTTATTTCTTGATCTACTGTGATCATTTTGTTGAACTTCACATTGTCTTCCATTTTAACTATTCATACTTGTATTACAACTTCACATTCCTGTGCAGCTATTTATGCGATTCAGACACAGTCAAGCAACAAGGACTTCAGGCTTCACAATTACTTTAAAAATCAATGCTTTCTAATGTCTAGGGTAAAATATCCACCTGCAACCTCTATTTTAAGTTTTATTCACATATTTATATTAACTTGCTTACTTATGCTGCTTGTCTGTAACAAGCTTCTTAAATGAGTATTATGCTTTGCTAGGGTAGACATATGATGTTTTGGTTATTTTTCCAACCTTGTTTTTTGTTCTCTCCACCTAACATATACAAACATGTAATTGTACATCTAGATGTACTTTTAACTGGCAATTCTGCATTTCTTTGAGTTCTCACTCCCATGTAAACTCACACAAAAGAAAAAAAAGGAAAAAAGGAAAGAAACTCATCGTAAATTATTTCCCAACGTTATTGGACATAGACTTTCTAAACCAGAAAATTAATTCCGTTGTGCTGTTCCTTCAAATAGTGCTCAGAATCAGTGCCCTGTACCTCAAAAATACACATGAACACAAAAGTATGCATGAAAACACTGAAATTTAACTACACAGGTAGTTTTTACTTTAATCTTACCCCTCCATCGTTATTTCTGCTCTTTCATCTACTAGTAGGAGTACTGAACATTTTTATTAAACAATGTTTATTCAGAAGCAGTGTGCTGGAATAAATAACAGTGAAGAGCAAATTCCACATTATTACTCTAAATATTGCTCTCAATTAAATGGCTAATTTGCAGTGTCACACCCAAAACCCCAAACTCTGTTAGAAAGAATATCATATTATTAGGTAAACATCTTTCTTTTCATTTATTGTTTTTTCAGATTATTTACCTTTTTCATAGGCAGGTGTATTCTCTTGCAACAGTGTGCTAAGCTGGAACCCATTCATGTGCAAGAAACGTAGTTGTTCTCTCATGGTCTTGCTTCCCACAACTGGTAATATAATGTTCCCAACATTGTTTCTTGAAATTGGTAGACCAAGACCTACTGCCAGTGTACTAGCCAAATCAGTTTGTTGCACAAGTTCAAGTTGGGTTAGAGGACCTACAATCAACAAACAAACAAACAAACAAAAAAAACCCTTCAATTACTTCAATGGTTAGTTCAAAAAACGGCAAAAGCTGGACGTCTTAGTTAAAAAGTATTTTCACTGCTGTTACAACTATTTCAAGAGAGCTACAAAGTGATCTTTTTTGTTGTAAAATCAGAATTTATGAAATTCTCAGAGAAAAATAATTCTTCAACGTGTGCAATTACTAGAAACAGAACATGAATGTTACACAATATGTATAAAGATTGTCCAGGAGAATACTTAATGGTATCAAGTCTCAGTTAAATCTTGAGAGAGTTTGATGACGTTCAGATTAGAAAGAACAGAGAACATTACAGTAGACTGATTAATGCACAAATGAAGAATGAGAATCTAATGTAATGCTGACAGTATTCTAGATTCCTCTTGATATTAATTAATATCAAATTGCTGTTGTCATATTAGCTCGCTGGACAAACAGAACTGGAGGTCAGGTAAAGGAACATTGAGTCCTAAGTCCTGGAGCTCCATGCAAGCAAAGGTTGAGAATTTAAAGTATGAAGATGTCATTATCTGACTGCAGTTCTCAGTCTTCTGTGCAGATGAGAGATTTCATTCAACGTATGTAATTATTTAAAATTGCAACACCAATTGTTTCTTCCTATGCTTTATTAGTTACATAACAGAGCCTTTAACCATGCTCTTAGTTCTCTTTGCAAATCCTGGCAGTGAGTATTTTGACTTATACATGAAAATAAATGTTATACAGTGCTTATTACTCTCAAGGCTCCCTTTAAGAGAATTAGAGTTTCATCTCTCGTTTCTCATCGATTTGTGATTAATCTCATACCTGTTTAGAATGTCATCTATAATCCCTAAATCCTCTTTGCATGAGTGTTTGTATGTCAGCATATTTCAGATTTCATCTTTAAGGCAAGTTTTTAAATAGTTACATAAAAAGTAAAAGAAAGACCAGCTACCTCTAGTCTGCCATGGGTGGCATAACTGTGCAGAAGACTACAAAAATTAATATTCAGATCACACATTAAAAGTGAAAGCCTGAAGGATTACTATTTTGAGGTCTGTTGTTTCAACCACGATACATTTCATTTTCAGTAGAATTATAAGCAGCAATCAGTAGAATTTTTCCTACTACAGCAATAAGAAGTAAACTGTTGAATATTAAAAATATGATAAAAATCACACTTAAATGTGACTTGCTCTGAAAAGACAGTTGACTAGCTATATTTCATCACATTGTAAAAACTGCATGTTCAGTTTAAATGTAACAAACTAATCCAAACGAATAAGAAATTGCATTTACAGGATCAACACCTGTGGCTTGGTTGTCAACATATATCAGTGTCACTTATAAACCAAAAACTTACCTTGCTTAGTCAGCTTCTGAATGTATTTTGCTTTTCTATCTGAAGAGTCCAAGGACATTTCAGGCAATCTTTTCTACTACTGCTGGATATGATCTTTACAAGTGATAGACAGATAAATGTACTTTAATTGTGCTGCAGGAACCTCCAGAAAAATAAATAAGGCAAGGTTTGGCAAGCAGGAAAAGAGATGAAAATGGACAAGAGGCGTAATGAAAGGCAGAAGGGAAGTATTATTTTGAAGAAAATGTTCATTCCTAACTATGCTTCACTTATTAACTCAGGGTGTTTATTTCAGAAAGATATTTTAAGCTACACAAACTACCACACCATTCCCTTCATTCCTCTTATCTTAAGCCGTATAATACAACTTGAGAGTGAGCTTCAGAAGCAGACAAGCTCAATGTAACAATAAAAAATGAACTGCCTGTCCAATACAGGAAATACACTCATGTTTCATATTCCTTCCTTAGATACTTCACAATCAATGGTTCTGTTTCCTTTGCTGTCATCTCCCTCCTTTTAACAAGAACAATTCTTCTTCTTTCCTGTTATTCCCAGCACACAAAAATGGCATTTATTCTTCTGTCTCAGCTGTTTGAAATGGAAGAACGGAGGCCAGAAAAAGGATTGCCAGAAGAGTTCTTGAAATCTTCAAATGTTTGGTCATGGAGCTGACCAAAGCTCTCAGGGAAGTTCTCCCATTATAAATGTTACAGATACATGTTGACAACCAGATGACAAAAGCGATTATTCTAATGCCAAGAATGACAAAAGTTAAAACTCACTTCAAGCAGGACTTAGGTTCTAATCATATCTATTTACCAGTACTCTGTGATCCAGACAAGAGATCTCACTAGTACTGAACATTAAAAACTTCTGCAGCACTATCCTGCTTTAACCTGAGAAATAACTAATTCTGCCTGTGGTTACACAGCTTAAGCCACACATTCAACATGCCATAGACGAAAACTCTAAAAAACAGATCACAAAGAACATGTTATCTTGACAGATGTGTAGAACTAATAGTGAGCTAAATTCCACCACCAAGATGATAACATGATAAAAACACATTATTTTCCAGGAATAACATAAATTGAAGTCAGAAATGTTCTAACAATGGTATCCTAGAAAACCAAGGTTCTTTTGATCCTTACCACTTCTCTTTTCAAAAGCAGAGCTGATAAATAGCAGCGGTGTGTGCACTTCACCCTCTGAAGAACCGCCGTGACTGCCTGTTTCAGACATCCCGTGATCCCCACAAACAACCAGCAAACTGGGCAGAGAAGCCTCTCCTTCCTGCAAGCCACAGTAATAAAGTTTAAAACACGAACAATATGTTTGTTGCTCTGAAAGCAATGCTTCCTATTTCGTTACGTTGGCCCATGCCCTCAAGATGTTAACAGGATGGCAGCAGAGGTTGAACCTTCCCACCAATACCCCGTTACATGTTGTTGCCATGTGACAGATGGCAGCAGAGGGACACTGACACAATGGCATCCAACGTGGAAGTGTAGATGAAGCAAAGGTGAGTCACTGAATTCCTACTTGTGGAAAAATGCAATCCACTGACATTCACCGACACTTGCTGAACTTCATGGAGACCCAAGAGTGGATGTGAGCACACTAAGGCAGTGGGAAGTGCATTTCAGCAGTGCCAACTGCAGCAGTGGGTCACCTCTGCTACTGCAGATTGTTACAAGTGTGGTATGCACACTTTTGCTCATCCCTGGTGGAACTATGCAGCTACTGACAATGACTATGTGGAAAAACAGTTTTCTGTAGAGGAGAATTTGTTCTATGAAACAGTGTTACTGTGGTGTTTGTACCCGTTTTATTTTCCATGGGAATGAATAGGAGACATTACACTTCTGCCGGACCTGTTTGTGTGTGTGCATATGTGTACATATCTACCTATATATGCTCCATCACCTCTAACACCTTCAAGCATGAATATTTACTGAAATAAATTCAGATTTCAAAACTGGCTGTCAACAGCCAGAGTAGATCACCAGGAAACACCTAAGCATTAAGCAGCAAATAATTATTTATTTTTAAGTTAAGGCAGAAGTATGTATCATTATAACACTACCATGAAAAAGACTCTGAAATAATGAATATAACCGATTTACAAAGTCAGAAGAGTCTGACTTTTTGAAGAAAATCAGCAGTACAGGAACAGTAACACAGAAAGAAGTCTGTTCCCCCCAGCTGAACTCAGTCTTCAGCTTCAGTGAGACTTTAATTAGAAAAATATTAATACTAAAAATATCAGTAAGTGTAATAATAACTCTATTTTATAAATCTTACTGTAAGCAATGTGCTAAAAAAGATTTGAGCAGGGTCAAAGGAAATTAGTTAATTAGTAAAATGAACAAAATTAATTCTACACTTCCATTTTAGATTTTAAGTTATAACATTTAAAGTTTTAAATGATAAAGAGAAATCTTAGATGGTTAAATTCAAATTTTTTCTCTAATCTTTCAAGTGTTTTTGGGGTAGAAATTTGACATGACTGATATCAAATTATGTCTATTTTTGAAAGCAGAGAAGCAGAAGCAGAAGCAAGGCCTGTCCAGCCCTTCTGAGCTGTCAAATAAAAGACAACAAATGTCGTCATTTCATAACAAAACAGTTTTTTGTCATCTCCAGTACACCTGTTACATTCAGAAGAAAATTGCTTTCCTTATTTCCTTATTCTAAAACTGCAAGAAAGATTTGCAGATTGTCAGCAAAATCATTGCATAAAAAGTGCACTGAGACACATGTGATTATAACCTTCACAAATAGCATTATAACTTTTCCTTTAATTTTATGCTATCCATTTGTACAGATACACTACTGAAGTTTTATGAGGAGCTATCTGAACTGCAGCTGTCTAAAAAGATAAATAAGCTTAAGGCCACTTGGAATTAGGATTGTACATTTCAACATCCAGACTATTTAGATAAGTTTCTACTTCCAACTTTAAAAACAGACTCAGATTTGCTAATTTGATGTTCTATGTTGAGAAAAAATGTCTACAAACTCCACTTGTATTTGATACTTTTCAATATCTGAAAATCAGGAATACCTTCCTAATTATAAAAACAAGACACATAGCTACATAAACCCATTACTGCTCTGCTAAATTAAATTACTAAAAAGGACATCAACTACTGTTTTCATTCATGAGCAATAAGAATTTTTGCTCATATTCCACTTCTCTTCCTGCAGATCGAGCAGAAATTATTTCCCACAACTATTCAGTAGTTGCAGTTAATAGATGTTACTTATGTCAGATAGTAAATCCTTTAAAATGCTATTAACAATGCAATCATTGTTAACTGAAGAACAGGCAGGACAAGAAAAAGAATAGAAAAACACTCACCTCCATCTAAGAATAAACTACTACTCATGAACAGGCAATGGCATTGAATACTATTAATGCAATACGATTCTATAAAAGCCAGATTTTCATCCAAAAACAAGATATATTACCTTTGACAGAAGAGAAATATGAATCTTCTTCAAGACATTGTCCATTTCACGAAGTTTTGGTCCCACTAGTGGGCTGTTTGGCCCAGTCATATGTCCAATATGGTCCAATCCGAGGTAATGTAATATTAAGAGATCCCAGTCTTCTCTCTTCAACACTCTATCCAAATGTCTAGTAACATTATCATCAACCTCAGAAACAAAAGGAAAACAAATAATAATTTCCCTTTTGTAAAAAGCATAGAATATTTCCCTTCTGTATAAAGCATAAAAAGATTATTTTGTACTGCTCATGAAAGTTCTCTAAAAGATAACGAGGATTAGTCATTCACAAAGTTAAAAGAAAAAAAAAAAATCAGACTGATCACTTCATTGCTAGGTAGAGTTAAAGACTACCTTCAAAAAAAAAAAATTCTTCACCCCATTTCAATCCCTCTTGTTTGTCAAAGACCAGATTACATAAAGCAGAGAATACAGAACTGACAAGCTTTCACAGACACTTCTGAAAACTCTTTCAAAACATTTTTAATCACTTTCACCTTTCACACCTCTGATTTATCCCTTCTGAGAAGCAGGTACAGGGAACAGCCTTTCTTTGGAGGTAGGAAATACTGAAGAGAAAAACAGTGCTGACAAAAAAAAAAAAAAAAAAACTGTCTGCATAGCAATAATTAAATATTTAAAAAAATTCTGTTTGGTGTCTATCCCAAGTTCTCCTGTCTAAGTTAAAAATTCATTTGAGTTGCATGCAATTCCCCTGAGTATTAAAAACACTTAAACATTGCATCTGCAACATCAGATCTAGCAACACATTTGCTTCATTTCACTCTGCAAGCTTTGAATCTTCCACAAGGCTTATTAAGACAACCACTTAGAAGTATTTTTCATTCACAATAGGCCTATCTAACTTCCTTAAACATGAAAAAGTATATATGGCAGTAGCATTGGGTTAGTGGCACAAGATTTCACAAATCAGTTTCAAAACATGAGTTAGAACTGCTAGCCCATTTACTCTTTGAGTATTCTCAGAAAAAGAATTTTCACAATTTGTTTTGTTTACTGTTTATGTTCCATCTTTTCCAGAACATTGAAACACTGCTCATCTTAAACCTAAAAAAGCAATAATGTAGATAATATGCCTCCAGGAGAAGAAGACAATCTATTAGCAGGCCTTTTAAAGATGGCCTGTTCTACAAATGCACTAGGAAACCAGAACCATGGATAGTGACACTTTTAAACATGGTAGGTAACGCATTACTGTATGACCCAAACACTTCCAATGCCCTGTGCATGAAGAATTGAAGTCTTTAGCTCAAGACTGTCAATACTGAAAAGACACAATTCAATTTCTATTTATTTGCCAGGTTAGTGTTTCAAAACAAGGACAGTCTCATTCTTCCATTTTCCGAAGTCGTCACTATGTGTTTGTACACACATTATTTAACTTGAGATTATAAAAAGCCTCTCACCTCTGTAAAATCTGACACAAAAAAGGACGTTGTTCCATCATATTCCACAAAATGCTTTGGAAACAATTTTACCCAAGTATCATCACCATAAAAGATTATTCTTTTCCCAGCTGCTTTTGCCTGCCATATTAGATTGTCACTCATTAGAGCTGGAGAGTTGAGGTTCACAACAACATCAATGAAACCAGGAATGCTACCCGTCATCAAAGCCTACATAAAACAAGAGATGTATTAACAGAAACTGAAAAGTTTACAGTACCCAAAATAAAATATCAGTGTTAGAGAAAATAATGAAGCAGAGAGGAAAGAGATTACTGTATGTAGTCATTGAAACTATAGGGCAAAAGAACATATGAACTACCATGCCACATAATACCAACTGTCACAATATGATGCCAAGAATTGGCAAATGGCATCAGGAATACTACCTGCTTAGCAGGAAATTAAAAATTACATTTTCTAATCAGTGGGAAGCAAAACCACTCTGTATCCCAGTTTAAATTTCCTTCATTTAATGGCTCAGTAAGTTACCAGTAAGACTGTGTAGATGGCTTAAGTAAATTAAACTAACACAAAACTAACAATGGTAGAATGCTCATAACAGAAATAAGAAACTTCTGGAAAAAAATGAAGTCCACCTATGAAAAGCTACCAGACTGTGTTCTCCTCCGTCTCTTTCTGGCCTTGCTATTCAGATCCATTACTAACAGGATGACTAAATATTTACAGACAAAACTCAAATTTTAATTATGTTGAGGCTGGAACAACATAAATTTACATACATCTAGACTTCCCATCAGAAGTTCCCATCAGAACAGAGTGAGAAACACCAACAAAAATGCTCTTGCAAAGAAGACAATAGGAAAATTTGCTAGCCATGTGGCCGCCTTCCCAAGATTACAAATGAAAAGACTGCGCCCACCATCTAAGCTGGCACCAGGGCCATAACTGTCCTCAACTGATTCTCATAGAGCTTTCTACCACTGAGCTATAAGATAAAGGAACAAAACAAGGCAAAGTGCCGTAAGTGAAAGCTACCACCACTCACTTATCCTCTCTACTTTCTTTGCAGCCCAACCTTTTCTGCAGGAAGCACATTTGGGTCAAGGCAAATAACAATCATATCACATGCATTACTGCAACAAAGTAAGTTCCAGCTACAGATTAACAGTAATATCACAAAACCTCTTTACACCAATTCTCAGCAAATGAAACAAACCAATCTTTCCAGTTTTCTTCAATGAGGCAACCCTAAAGGGAAACTTACCTTAATTCGAGGCATAGTCACAGTGGGTGGCTTTGCTTCAGCAATGAAACTGTAGGATGTCCCTTTTTCAATAACTTGTGTAGTGTAAGGCATGAACTGTTTACCTTTGGATCCAAAGACAAAATCATCTCTCAAAGCATCTATCAGGACAATGACAACTTTTTTGAAAAGTGGTGGTGGAATTTTGGTCCAGTTGGAAACTATTCCTAAAGCACAACAACAAGAAGAATGTATTTTAAGTCATCAAAATTTTTAACATTTGCTAGACATAAGTTAAAGGACAGCTGCACCACAGAAATGTGTGCCTCAAAGTTATTTTATTAACTTTACATTCCAAAGCAAGAAGTTGCAAAGAATGGCAAATATTAGACCTAATCTGAGGAAGTTGAGTTTTCAGGTCATCCACCACAAGAATGACACAAATTCAGTAGTTAGGAAGAAAAACATAAATGCAATGAATGAATGCAATGCACTATGAGAAATGGTAAGAATTGAGAAAAAACTCCATAACAAAAAGTTCAAAGGGATAGAAAGGAACAGTTTCTAATTTCTCTGGTTAAGTTAACTAGACTGAACTATATATATCCAATTTACAGTTACTGTAAGAAAAAAAATACTGCACTGACCTGTGCTAATATCCAGGCCTGCATAACAGAACATAATTCAAACAGTGCCTCTCAATCAAATCTCACCATCAGAGAGCAAGAGTAACAAAGAAATAAACAGAACTTCATTGACATTGGAAGTGAAAAGATTTGTACACACTCACATCCTTCTGAGTTGAAGTTTGCATGCTAGGATAGTAAGGTAACAGCAGCTGTTGGGCTAAAATCCAATTCCAGAATACCCTGAAAAAACTAGTTTGTGCTCAGAGAGCACAGCACAGCAATGGCCCATGACACGCCTTCAAGCCCACCTCTTTTCTTCTTTTGCATTCAGCTTAGTCATACAGCAACATTTCCTTTTTACAGCAGAAGGCTTGGGCCAAACCTCTACAGGCCTCATGTGTCTACCAAGAGACAAAACAGGAGTACAGAGATAAAAGCAGAGTGGATCCCATTCCTAGATGACTTCCTAGACAACACAGCGGTTGATCAGTAATATGTATTATATAAAGTTACAGCTTCCATGTTCTTTTAGAACATGGAACTTTTTTTTTTTTAGAACTTTTAGAGTAAAATGCGTTTCTGATTAAGTGGTTGATAAGCTGGGAAGACCACAGATAGTTCTGTGTCTAAGAATTTAAAAATAAGCTCAGAAACTGTATTTTAGGTGCATGCCTAAGCATCACTACATTGACATTCACGAACTCGCTAGCGGTACTGATTTTTCCAGGTAAAGAAATTAAAGACGGGCACAGCAGAGGAGAGAGGGAAACTTCAACAACAAAAAAGTAAATCCCAGCCACTTTGACAAAAAATGAAACGTCGTTTCTGAATGACTTGAATTACTAAATTGGCAGGCTTGCTCTGGCATTCATGCATTTCACATAGGTAAAAACAAGAGGGCAGAACTGGATGCACTGTGCCTTTAAGTTTCTCTCATAATTGACTTTCCCCCACTTTTCTAGGGAAGGAAAACTTGCTGAATACCATGTGCACCTCTTAGGATGTGGCATGCTTATTTATGTCTGCTACAGTTCTTTATAAAAGTTACTTTACATGAAAGAGAATGTTTGTAAGCAGTGAACAAAACAGAAGGTTCTACTACAAACTTTTTAAAAAGAGATTAAGACTGGAGGCAGTCAGATTTCAAGGAATAAGGAGCTAGCAAAGATCAGAGTCAGGCTTCCGAACTTCATGAAAACAAACCTCAGACTGGTTAAGGAATTACCAGATGGGATCTGCTGGGAAACTCTCCTTAGGGACATAGGAATGGAACAGAGCTGGCAGTTCTTTGAGGACACCTTTCCAACAGCACAAGAGCTATCCATGTCTCAGCAGAGAAAATAAGGCAGAGGAGGCAGGAAATTGGCATGGCTGAGCAAGGACTGCTGGTCAAATTAAAGATAAAAAAGGATATGTACAGACAGTGGAAGCTGGAATGGGTGGCCTGAGAAGAAAAGATCAGGGCCATCCAGACATGCAGAGATGAGATCAGGAAAGCCAAAGTGCAAGTGGAAATGAACTTGGGGAAGGACGTGAAAAATAACAAAAGGATTCTATAGGTATATTGGTCAGAAGAGACAGACCTCCCCTCTCCAATAAATGAGAAGGGAGAAATTTCAACAAGACATGGAAAAGGCTGAGGTACTCAACTAGCTCTTAACCTCAGTCTTCACTGGCAGACAGGCTTCCCATTACTCTCACATGCCTGAGCCTCTAAGAGGAGACTGAGGGAGCAAAATCCCTCCCACTGTAAGAAAAGAGCAAGTCTGTGACAACCTGATGAGCTTGAATGCGAACAAGTCTATGGGGCTTGATGACATGCATCTCAGAGTACTGAAAGAAGTGCACAGTGAAGTTGCCAAGTCACTCACCGTCCTAATAGAAAAGCCATGATTGTCAGGTGAAGCCCTCAGTGACTAGAAAAAGAGAAACATCGCTCCCATTTTTAAGAAAGGGAGAAAGGAAGATCTGGGGAAATACAGGCTGGCGAGCCTCACCTCTGTGCCTGGGAAAATCATGGAGCAGGTCCTCTTGGGAGAGATGTCAAGGCACACGTGAGACCAGGAGGTTATGAGACACCCAACACCACTTCAACAAGGGCAGATCATACCTGACCAATCTAGTGGCCTTCTACAATGCAATGACAGCATCAGTGGACAATACAAAAACAACTGACATAATTTACTCGGACCTGTGTAAGGCCTTTTACATACTCCCCCATCACACTGTTAACTCTGTATTGTAAAGCTATGGATTTGAAGGGACAATATCAGTGGATAAAGAATTGGATGGTTGCAGTCAGATAGTTGTGGTAAATGGCTCTATGTCCACGTGTAGGTTGATCACAGGAGGTGTTGTCTTCCAGGGATCTGTCACTCTTCAACATCTTTCACTAATGACATTGATGGAGTTGCTGGAGCAGGAACAGGTGAGGCCATGAGGCTGATGCTAAGGCATCTGTCTTTTAAAGAAAGGTTGAGGCAGTTGAGATCGTTTAGCGTGGAGAAGAGAAGGTTGTGTAGAGACCTCAGTGTGGCCTTCTGATACTTAAAGAGAGCTTATAAACAGGAGCGGGATGGACTTTTTACATGGTCTGATGGGGATAGGATATGGGGGAGTGGCTTTAAATAAAAAGAGGGGAGATCTGGGTTACACATTAGGAGGAAATTCTTTACTCAGAGGGCAGTGAAGCACTGGCACAGCTGCCTAGAGGAGCTGTGAGTGCTCAAAACTGGCAGGCATTCAAGGCCAGGATGAGCAGGGCCTTGGGCACCTTGGTCTGGTGGGGGGCAGCCCTACCTATGGCAGGGGGATCAAAATTAAAGGATCTTTAAGATCCTTTCCAATCTACACCATTATTTGATTCTATGATTGTCTAACACAGGTTAGGAAAGCAATGCAATGGCTTTAAGTGCTTATTAGTAAGACCAAGAGATCACTCTGCACTCAAGCTCTAACACAAGAACTCCAGAGAGGAAATAACCATTCCCATCACTGTATTTTTTCCTAGGATTACAAACACATCTAAATTTAACCTAAGAGTTTGTAGAGATGTCTGCACACATTTATACTCTCCAGGTCAAACCAGACTTTTCAAAGCCCAATTGTCTGGTCCCTCTTTCCCCCCCAGCATCTACTGCTAACATTCACATGGGAATACAAAGTTTCACTCATACTTAAACCCGATATTGAGATCTCTATAGCACAACCTATAAGTGTCAGACATCCCTGACACTTTTGGTAATCTCCAGCTAAATACTTAACTGCAGTTTAGCAGCCTCAGCTTAAGCCTGTAAGATTAGAGCTTTACAGCGCTTCTGCTTCACTAATGTTGTGATGCCATGCTCTGAATTAGGCAAACGTCTCTTCCAACCACTGCCTCTACAAAGTCAGTGAGCCTGTCCCAAGGCTCTGCCTTTGTATAACTCAGAAATAGCAATGACAGGAGGCAAAAAGCAGTGGGTCTCATTAGGGCCGCCACAACCTTGCTCTAGCAGACAGATGTCCTACCAAGCAGCAGACACATGCCGTACCAGCCACCTCGCCTGGCCGAAACACAGCTCAGTGCAGCCGTTCCCTGGAGGTCAGGGGTTCACCATCACCATCCACAGTCGATGATTAAGGCTCCTCGCAAGCAGAAACTGCAGACAGCGACCAACCCTACACCTATAGAACTACCTCTGTTCTAAGCTACTTCGGAAGCAGGCTCTGAAACACGACAGCGCCTCGGAACGGCACTGCAAAGCACAGAAGCCCTCGCACACCGGAGAGCACCGTGAAACCGCGGACCAACCCAGCCTCCTACCTGGGCCGGGCGGGGCCGGCTCGGCGGGAGGCTCTGCGCGTGCCTCCCCGCGCGGCAGGGACCGGACGGGCAGCGGGAAGAAGCCGCGGAGGAACAGCGCGACCCCCAGCGCCTCGGCCAACAGGCAGCCGGTGGCCAAGGCCCCCGAGCGTAGCCGCAACCTCATCCTCCCCGCTCTCCGGCCTGCGCCCCGTCCGCTCCCGGCGTCCTCCGCCCCGCCCCCCCTTCGGCCAATCAGCAGCTACCGCACCTGCCCGCCCGGCCCTCCTATTGGCCAGCAGCCAGCGGCTCTCCAGCCCCCAGCCGGAAGTGGAGCCCCGCACGGGAGAGGGCGGAATGTCCCAGCAGCCTCCGCGCCGCAGGCCCGGGAGGGGGTGCGGTGTTGTGGCTGTGACGGGGCTGGTCTGAAAGCTGTGGTTTAGAGCATCGCGGGGAGATTTTGCACTAAGCTGCACCAAAAGGCATCAGGCAGAGCAGGAAGGGAACTTTGAAGTCAGTTTGAATGTGTTGGGCGAGTGGAATTTTCTTTTGTCTTCTTAATACCATCGTGTAGGATCCTTTTCTAGCAAAACCCATTGGGAAGGAAGCATATCATGGCAGATGAAGGAAGATAAATGAGAAGGAAAAAAGGCTCTAAAAGTTAGTTTTCTGGAAGTGGACGTGAAGCTGTTGTGCAAAGATGAGCTGATGGTACGCTCACCGTGCTCCTTGATTCAGAGGGGCAGCCACAGAGGTCAATACTTAAAGAGATTTTATTACTGCTTCTCCGCCTGTGGAGTTTCTGTGTACTGCGCGTTTTTGCTAGAAAGATATTGAAAACCTAGAGAGGATCTGCAAGGCTTTCAGCAAGTAGGAAGGGGCAAAACGAAACATGGGTTTTACTCCAGGCTAGTGTGTGTATGCTTCAAGTATTCATTAAGTGTCTATAGATCTCACTTCCAAAGTCATATTATTTGCATGTCTAAAAAAGGTGTATTTTTTACTTTCAGTGAATATTTCCTGCTGTCTTCTAAATCTTGAACCCGAGTGGGACTGTTCAAGCAGAAAATTAGAAAGGTTAATTCTCTAGCAAATAAAAGCCACGCCAATGTAGGCTGTGTTTATAACACAGAGCAGCAGCTAAGAAATGTCATTATTTTTATTTCCTTAGCAATAATTCAGCTTTTTCCCTTTTAAGAGGAATAGCAGGAATTCCACAAACACTGAATATTTCCATGGTTCATACCTTCTGATTGTTACATAAGATTAGCCATTTCTGTGTTCATTCAAAGGACTTTCTCCACAGATAAGGATGCACTAACTGGCATATGTTTCACTCACCAGCACCAACCTCTAAGCATGTTGAAATCTCACTGCTTTTTTCCCTAGAACCTTTTGATCTTCTCTTACAGCAACGTCTTTTTAAGTTCATTGTTATTGTGTTCTACTGCAGTCACAAAATATCTAGAAAGAAATCTGAGTGCAGCACAGGACTTTAGGTGTGGCTGAGTAATTGTCTGTGAGTTATGAGTCTGTTGTAGTTTGATGCACTCACATTCACTGCTGTGCATTTCAAGTTTGTTCATTACAAACCTTTGGGCATCACCTCTTCTGTCATGCATAACTGGTTTATATCCTGTGTCAGTTGGTCATCTTGTGCAACCACAGATAAAATGCTTGGGTGCTCCCCAACTTGTAAGCACAGGAACGGCATTGTGTTCTTCAATTTTCCTGAAGCGTCCTGACTAATTGAAATAGACAATGGAAGTATCTCTATTTCCTTCTTTTGCTGCTAATTCTTTCCCTTCCTGTTTATCGCCTTTTGCATAAGGAAAATCAATAAAGCCCAATTATTTATTTTATTCTAGTTTCAAAACACAGCCACAGTTTACACAGTTTCTTCTTTCCCCTTGTCTAATGTAGCATTATTCTGTATTATTCCCATGCAGTACTAATCTCAGATCTCTTCACCTGCTGCTGTGTTAACGACTTCAGAGATCTGCAGTTTATCAGCTCTTACAACTGCCTCAGGAGTACTCCCACTCTGGCCTTAATTTAACTGGATCCCACTGTGTATGTATGTATCTGTGCTTATAAGTGTATTTGTTTAAAACCTGTATCTTTTTACCAAACTTGACAATGTCAGATGTGTCAGCTACTCATGCCAGTGGTTTAAACAAACACTCCTTTTTTTTTTTCTAAACAGAGTGATCATTCTTAATCTTGTCCCTAATGTATTCAAACTGCATTGGGAGCAAACAGGAGGACCAGAAACGAGGTCAGTGTAAATAAAATCCACCTTTTTAACATACAGAATGAGTGTCATGTTTCAGTTAAGTGAAGCTCTATATAGACCCAGGATTTTTAAAGATGAGCTGATGCTCTGAGAGTGCTGCCATGCACTTAGAAATCCAGAAGGACACAGTAATTTTTTCTCCTATCTTATTTCTCTATTTGTCAGTACCTGGCAATTTGAATGTATGTCAGGTCTCTGCTGGTTTAAGCTGTGGCAGAACATCAGAAGAAGTTATCAAAGACTGTCCACTGAAGTGTGAATCTTCCTCCTCCATGCTGGTGCTCTAGAAAGTCTCCAGAGGTATGCAGATGCTGAGGTGAAAGACAATGCAGAAGCAATGTCATTTTAAACCTTGTTTCTTAGATCAGACGGAATGGAAAATTTCTGCACACACAAGAGAATTGGACAGCAAATAATTATTCAAAAATAATTCATAGCTTTAATTGTACTGAGTAATTGATTGTCCATCTTTACACACACACACATAAAAAGCACAAACGAAGAAGATAACTCCAGAACACCCCTGAGGTGGTAAGCTATGGGAAGTCAAAGCCTGTTTTATTTCTGCAGGCTGCAGACTTACTTTCTACTGCAAAATGAAATTATCTGCTTTCAAAGAGGAAGTAAAGCTGCAGAGAAAGGACTAATTGAAGAAAGAAGGTGCTCATTAGTTGCCCCCAGAGCCCTGCACTCAAAGCTTACATTGCTTAGTAGCAGTATTTCTATCCCTCTTTATCTACACAGGGTTGTACAGATAAGTAGCAGTCCTCCCTGCCTAAGAAAGCCCCAACCTTAGAATTGCATTTGTGCTCCCACAAGGGAGTTCCTCTGAGAGATCCAAGCACGAGATAGGATTGCTCTGCCTGATTCCCACATGTGCTGCTGGTTAGAACTGATCTCAGGGTGCTCTGAGTCAGTTTTAGTTTTCCACTGAGTGTAAATGGACTTCACATAAAACAGAAATGGAAAGGAAGAAACCCCTTGAGGAAAATTTCCAAGGCTTCTTGGGTGACTTGAATGATTGCAGTGGTATAAGTGCCTGAGCCCCCCCAAAACCAAACATTAGCAGACTCCTCTGGCTACAGAGTAATGTCAGACATCTCACCTTTAGGACAGGCTCTGGCAGAAGGATCCAAATCAGAGAAGCGCTGAAGACATAATTTCACTTTTTATGTGAAAACTGATTAACACCTTCCTTCCACTATTTTGTCCCCTCATTTTACTGCTTCTTTCTTAAATCTCAATCCTTTCCTGCTCCGCTTCCTGTAGTAAAAGCTTATACTCCCACCAAAAAAACCCTCTGTGGTGCAAGCGACCCTACTAAGAGGTAGGAGTAACAGAGCATGATATGAACAACACAGGCAAAGCAGAAACAGCAAGACTGCTTGCATATCATTCCCAGGGAACCCAAGGACTGCACCACTGCCCCCAGGGAAGAGGATTGCTCCTGCTCAGCTCAGTAAGACACTCTCCATGACACTAGTGTATTTATCTCCAGCATGCAGGTGTTGATTTTAATACCCTCCAACACTCACTGTTTGTCTAATGTGCCTAGGATTAGGTGAAATTTTCAGTTATTTTGTCCTTTTCCTACTGGGAAAATCCCTCACAGTCAGAAATCCTCTTTACTGTGGTATCAAAGTAAAAAAAGTGACCAAAATTGATAGGCAATTACAAATCTAAAGTATTAAACATAATAAAATTCTTCCATGAAATAGGAATTAACTGAAATAACATTACTAGGTTTAAAAGACAAACAAACAAACAAAAAACCTAAGCCTTTTTTTTTCCTCTTTTGTCTTTTTTTGCCCCATGTAATTCCCCTCTCTGAGCCCAAGTCTTTGTTTAAAAAGGAAACCAGCTGCACATGCCTGGTGTTTAGTAACTGCCTTTGATTAACTTTAAGCCTGGATATTTATTAACAGTTAAACACCACACTCCTTATGTTAAAAAATACCTATGTGTAATGTAACATATCTTGTTTTAGAAGCAAGACTCTTCTCTTACACCACTTACCACAAATACATATTTCCAGGAGGGAAGTCTTTATGCACTGCTTTTCACTGCTGGCAGGTAGCTTGCTGAACTAAGCTGGCATCAGAAAGCTACTCATCTTAACACATAGACACGTTTGAGCCATTTAGATTAAAATGACTAAAGTAAGAAAGGCTAGCAGACATGAGTAGAGCAGGCTCTTTGCGTATTTGTGCTTTGTTTATCAAGTCTGACACAGAATAGCCAAACTGTCACCAAAGGAGAAGCCAAAGGAAGGGTCCTTGCTCACATCTGTCAGAGGGCAGGATATGTAATGAGTATTGTGGCATCAATACATTCTCAGAGAAGACAGCAAGCACTATACTTCTAGGATAAATCTCTTCCAATACCCTGTAGCTACAAGTTGTTATCTTGCTAGCAGCCTGCCAGGCCAGTGTCCCTGCTTCTTTCTTGGTAAAGAAGAGATGGTTGCCCATGTACCAGCCAGTGAGCAAGAGGCGTTCTTTGTTGGGCCTGGGCCTACTCCTGTCCATGCTCTAACACAGCCAAGACCCCAAGGCCATTGCTATGAGTGCTGCTTGTGTTCAAGAAACTTTTAGATGCTGTACTGAAGGACATGGTTTAGTGTAAAATATTGATAAAAGTGGACATTTAATCTTGATAGTCTTGGAGGTCTCTTCCAACCTTGGTGATTCTATGATTCTATGATTCCCAGCTTGCCTCTGCCATGGCAGGGTGGTGTGTCTTCCATGGGGTGAAGCTCAAGCCTAGCAGGTACCCTGAGAGGAAGACAGGCTGAACAAGGTAACTTGGCATGTGTCAGATGGATGCAAAGAGACTGGCATGTTGTGGGTTCATAGAAACCAGCCTCCAAGACAGACTCATACAAGTAGCACCTCATACTAGTTACCCAGTTCTTTTCTAGAGGAGAACATGGGAGC